TTAAAAAAAATGTGCATGTTGAACTGATATTAGGTATAGTGTGAGCATATTATAATCTGCAACTTCTAAAGATTCAATCTTTATGAAAGTAACCCCACAAAATGTCCAAAAAATTATATGTATAAAAAAAAAAGGATAAATAAACAATTGGATCATGTGAAGAACATTTCAAAAGTACCGCGTCCCACAAATTAACACTTACACTTTTATAATCTCAATAGGATCACTGATGAATAATTGATTTCCCAAGTCAAGCCTCATTTTCTTGACTGATAGTAAAACGAGTTTCCCAAGAAATCCACCTCCACATTAAAGTCTTCATTTCAACAGATCCATTGAAAGCTAAGCTAGTATCATCATCATTTGATGTTTAAACTAGCAGAGACCAACCAACCACAAATAGAAACTACAAAATTCTTTCAAAAAAACTGAAAAAAAAAAATTAATAATAATAATAATAATAATGCTAGATGAAGAAGCCTTTTCGGAGTACGTCGAGAGGAAACTCGACGCCCCCATGCCGTGGATCGGCCTGTACGTGGCCTTAGCCTCGCTAGCGTGCACCCTCACAATGGTCGCCGACACTCTCCACGCCTTACGAGCCAAGAAATTCTGGTTCCCCACCAAATTCTTCTCCCTCAACGCCATGTCACTCACCTTATTGGCCGTGGCCATGAAGCTTCCGGTGGACCTCACCACACGCATGTACACCCCAACCGACCGTCTCGCCAAGATCTGCACGCAAGCCTTCATGTCCACAGCCATAGCCAATTTCATCACCTGCTTGGGCTCCATGGACGATCGCGACATCCTCACCAACACCGCCGCACTTTTCGTACTCGTCGTCACCATATTAGCCAACGTCTGCATACAGATAATCCAAATGCGCGAGTTCCTCGGGGCCCGCAAAATGTTCGCCGAGGAAATCGTGTCATGCTCGTTGATGCTCGTCTCGCTCGTTTTGGTGGGGTCCACGGCAGTTATGGTCCCGTCTATGAAGTCGAGGCTCGAGTCGAAGTACCACGAGATGCTCAAAATGGCCTCGAACGAGGAGGACGACGAGCTGGCGGAGCTCGGGAGACTTCAGGTGACGATCAAGAAATACCGAGTGATGGCCGAGACAAGCGGGCCCCAGTTCGTGATCGCGCGCTCCGCCACTTGTACGGCCTCAGGAGTCGTGTCCCTGCTGACGTGTCTCGTTTTGGCCGAGGCGGAGGCTCGGGTGGCGATGGAGTGCGGAATATTCGAAAACGGAGCTTCGAAATACGGGTGGTCGGTCAAGTGGATCTTGCTTGCACAGACGGTTGGGGTAGCTGTCGGGACTGTGGGGCCCGCGTTCAGATTGTTCACGGCGGTGAAGTTCAAATGCTCGGAGAATGGTGGGAGTCGATTATTCGGGGACGAGTTTAAAGTCGAGGCTTACTGGACACAAAGGCTGGTCGAGTGGAAGGAGAGATCTTTACCTCTGCACATTCGAGATCGGAAGTGGCGAAAACTACTCCACCGAGCCAAACGCCTCGTTTTGAGCTTTCTCATAAAGATTCAGATTTCGACCGTTTTCTGCTGCAAAGGAGTACGATTCGTGTGTTTCGCAAGTCCGGTCGAGCGTTTGAAGAATTTGCTCGATTTTGGCTCGTCATCTCGTGTTCACGAGGAATCAGAAACTCAACCGGAGCTAGATTTTAGCCGTTATGTCTTGTTACTCGAAGGCGAAGCAGAGTTGCCTCAAAATATCCAAATCGACATATGCAATGAGGTCGACAAACTAATTGAAACCGGGAAAAAGCAGCGGCCCACGAACCTGATCGGTCTCATGCACAAAATAGGTAACTTCAAAGGGCTGAAAGAAGTCGACCGGAATCAAGTCCCGAGCCTCCACTCGCAAGAACCCCACAAATGCTGGTCGCTTCCATTGGTAACTCTCACAAGCATCGCCATTTCACTTCCTAAAATATCGAAGCAAAAAACCGACTGGCTGTTGAGGAGCGTGGATGAAGGGCTCGTTTATGTGAAACTTATAGAGAAAAGCCTCGACAAGAAAGGGAACTTACTGAACAACCGAAATGCGGCTGATGTCATCTGGGTTGGAGTCGAGCTGTACCGGAAATGGCAGGGGAAGGACATCCACAAGACCTCCCTCAAATGCAGGGACTCGAAGGAGAGTTTAGAAGAGCTCTCGCGAAATGCAGAGAAGGATATTTTGGATTTTAAAACCGAGGTGAATGATTTCTTGATGGAAAATCCGGTCAATTGGCCGGTGAAGATTGTGGCGGCTAACTCGATGTACCGGATATGCCGGAGGCTTCTAATAGCTTACGAGGGGGATTATCTGAAGGCGGACGAGGGGTTGTTTGATCAGATTTGCAACATGATTGCAAATATAATGGCAGCTTGCCTCACGAATTTGATGCGTGTGATAATCGAGAAGTGTCGGCGTAAGGCAATAAAGGAGAAAGAGAGAATTGTACGTAAGGCGGCTTTGTTGCTAGGGGAAACTGAAGAGATTCTTCGTGTCATTCAACAGCATAGAGAGAAAATTACCGATCCAGATGAGTTGGAGTTTATCGAAAAGTGGTGTAAGTTGGTCAAGAGGAGAAGTTAGATTTTACTTACCTCGGGAAGATGGAAGCTCATTTTTCCGATTCAGCTAGGGAGAGGCTGTGCACAGATAGAGAAGGCAAAAACGAGCAGATGGGCAATTCGAACTCTAGGTATATTCTGGGACCTGAGACAGTATGAAAAAACAGGCATCAAAAACTCATGAAAAGCAAAAATAACATGTCTTTCTATTTTCAGAGCTGTGATTAGCATATTTTATGTAACTTCCACAGTGTAAGCATGCAATTTTTTAGAGAGGAAAGTGCAGACCTTGGAATTACTAAGCAATTACTCGTTGCCTAATGCCCCAACTTTTCTTACTTTTCAATAGTTATTATGACCTGTGGGCAGTAGAGGAGAGGGTAAAATAGGAACAAAATAATATATAAGGTTCCAATCATGTGAAAGAACTCATAACAATGAGGATGCCACTTTAGCATCAACATCCATCCTTATAAGTTACAATCTCAAATCTACAATGACATTGTCCACAGACAGATTAACTCTATAGTTTCCCATTATTAAATCACACATATCAAACAAGCCTTTCTATTCTTCACTTCACCGAACAAAAATGATAGGCATTGTCGAAACAAAACCCCACTCTCTAATAAAAAGACATCGACAAGCATGCTCGAGGTCACCAGTCTTCTTCAACAAAGTGATGCTATTTGTTAAACTCCACTCTTTGCTTCCACATTTTCACCGACTTTGGTATCAGTAGGTGGTGTCCCTTCACTTGCTTTCTCTACAAGCTTCAAATGAAGCCAACCTGAAAAAATGATGACAACTATTAGTCCACCGTTTGTAATTTCCTTGAATTGCAGGGTCCTACATGCAGTTGTTTGATGCAGGGTCTATTTGTTTCCTTTTTGTTTGAAATCTTAAACTTCACTCGACAGAGATGATATTTTGCCTTTTGAGAAAGAAGGTAACAATGCCTGGGTTTATTGGCCAGAAATTTCGAAAGTAAATACATAAATGCAAGAATAATCAAAATATTAATGAAGGTAAGGACGTGGGTCAAAACTTTAACTGAAATCAGCCCTGATTTTATAGGCGTCAAAACTTTAACTGAAATCAGCCAATAGAAAAGTTATGAACTTATTCTTAAAATATAAGAACCAGCTGACAACTTTCTTGGCCAAAAGTTGAGCGCAACAGATCTTACAAGCACCAAGTCAATATTAAGTTAACACTTACGAAGTCACTGAAAAGCTTATAAAACACCGTGATTGCATACAAGAGGTCCATTGAGCAGGACAAACTGTCAGTATGCTTTAATTGTCAATAGAGATAAAATGAAACAATTGGCCTTTCTTAAAGAGACACGACACACAAGAAATAAGGCAATAAATTTCTAATAGTATACGACTACCAAATTTAATTAATTTTTACCAAGAGGGAAGCAGATTGCTGCACCCAAAACCGAACCCAAAATCGCATTCCTTGCACGCCAACGAAGTGAACCAGGCACTGTTATCATCAAAACAAAAAAAGAGAGAGAAAAATAGTTATTACTTTCCCTTAAAGGAGAAAAACAGTAAGAAATTACCACCTCGATAAAATTTGTGTACTCACTGATTAAACCAAATGTAGCAGCAGTCGTGGAACCGGCTCCAACCACATTAAAAACATCCTGCACGCCTCGTTTTTCAGCAAGCAAGTTTTGCAGGCCATAAAATGCAGCAGTAAACAATCCAAGGCGGACCCCACCAACTATTGAACCACGAGTGACTCGGATAAATCTCTTCTCCATTGCATCCCTCATAAGCCGATACTGCTCACGCTTGTCAGGAGTGCTTCCAAGCTTCAACATTACCTCTGCATCCTTGCTCTGTAATAAAGATGCAAACTCCCTCAACAAAGTCCAGTTCAAGCATTTGAAAATTAAAAATCATGCACGAAGATCTCAACTATCATTAAAAAAATAAACCAACAAGGCTACGAGCAACCCTTAAGCTATATTATTGCAAACATAGTTAGTTAGATCTTAGATATTAAGTTCCATTTGTTTATGAGATAAAGTGTTATCTGTAGCTGAACTCGGAATGCTTAAAGGGAAAACCTTCCCAACATTAGCTAAAAAGGTTTATATAGAAAAATAGCGTCAATCAAACAGGAACACCATCATAGCAATTATCACAAAGCAACTTTTGGCATTAGAGTTTTCAACTCCAATAATCACCAAAGAGAGCCACAGGTAAAACTCAGAATTGTGTCCGTTGGTACACATAATTGGGGCTCATGCCTTTTGTGTCGACTCGAATAACTAACCCGTGCTAAATCAGTTAACCCACCAACTTGTAGATGTTGTGCACTATACAACATCTGTCAGAAAACTCAATTTCTTCATTTTATAGTTAAAATATTCCAACCAGCATGGACTTACCCAACCAAGAAAATTACTAGCTTCAGAACATACCGAGTACCAGCATGATTTTTTGTTGAAATATTCAATGAATCATTCAACTAGTAAATATAAATTTATTACATGCCTAATACCATAACATTCAAACATAAGGTCCACAAAAATAGAGAAAAAGAAAAAAAAAAAAATCTATTCGACAATACCCATGAAGGGATTCATACTTACAACAGATGCAGAGGCCTCTTTGCTACCTCCATATAACATGCCAGCGAATACTCCAACCACAGTTGCTGTACCCCAGTTTACAGTTCCGGCCAATTTTTTGGTTCGCTTCACAGACAACAACATTAACCTATCAATACCACACATATATCCTCAACGATCACTAGCGTAAATTAATCAACATTCGACAAGTAAGACAACATGGCAACACTCTATCATCCACCCAATGTTTATATGTATGCATATTCCAGATTACATATCCTTTCTGCACTTTCAATCACAAAAATGGGAGCATTATAATATTTTCGTTCGCTAGTAACAATGAAAACAACACCTACAGCCAATTAATCATACTACACGAATCAAAATTTATGCACTTTCATATCATGAAAAAACCCATCACCAGCTCACACTATTAGAAAGCCCAAAATAAGCTGAAAAATCCCAATTCATCGATGTGAAATTCACAGTGAATCATATTTACACTCTTACGTTCTCGACTGGCTCCTCTTGTTTTTCTTGCGCTTCCATTTTTTACCAGATTATTAAGAAGAAATAATAAATCTAAACCCTAAACCCCGCGAATAAGAAAGAGCGGATTCGAGAGTGTTTCGGAGGGTTACTTCACTTTAGCTTATATGTATGTATGTATTTTATTTTATTTTGTTTTTTTNATTATGCCAACGTAATTTAAACACCTTCTTTATTTTTTCTCTTTCCAATGCGCATTGTCTTGGCCCGTGATGTGGCGTGACTACTTTCTCAACCAACCACTGTGTGGAAGTAAAAAGTCTCAATAACAATGTGACTCAGCACAATCGTGCCAAAATTTGAAGAAAACATGAGAAAATTGCACGGAGAGATACGAGAGTTTTCGCGGGCAATTGAGGAGAATCGAGGACTTGAGAAAATTCAAAGGGATTTATCTACAAGAATTCAGTTTATGTGAAAATCAGAAATCATCTCCTCCTTCATCATTTCGCAAACCAATTGAGGGAAAATAATGGCGAGCAAGAAGACTGAGGGACAATCGATGGGTAGAGATTTTTTGGAGGGACGGGTATGATTTTCTTCTTTGGCGTTTGTAGGGTTCTTAGAACACGTGAAGTTCTAATTTTTGAATGAAAAATTATTTCTACATGGACGAGTAGTCAGATTATTTCTGTGAATGGGTTAGTTTCTGTGAATGGTCTAGTTAATTTGCAAAAAAGTGGTTGTGCGAGTTTTAATTAGATATAAAGATGGATTCAGCCGGATATAAGTATCACAGTACCCTTCCAATTGAATATGATAGCGATCAATATAATTTTATTAGGGATATTGGATCTAGTAGTTCTGGGATAGCCAGGCTTATGAGGGTAAAACGAGTGTTGAGAGAGTGCAATTAAGTACATCGAGCAATGCATTCAAGTCAGTTTTGTAACTTTCTGTTTCCTGATAATTGAGTTTGTTTAACACTGTTTAATTAATTTTTAGAGCTAACTTCCTTCTAATTGGTGTGTATCCAGCATGCAGTATTATCATTGATTTAGTATATCATCTTTTACCTTGTTTTTCCTCCCTCTACTAATGACTTTAAGTTTGTTTTTCTTTTTTATTAAAGTTATATGTCTTTTTGTTTCCCTATGCATGTTTCTGATTAGATATAGGTTGAATCTTACTTGGTAGTAATAGAAAGACATCATGATGTACTTGAAAATTTCTATCTTTGGTGTCTTCGTAAAACTTGTTCCTCAGACTCTTTATGTAGGTGAAAGAATGATCAAAATATCTATTGTACAGTAAAAGTTATGTCGGTAATACAGTGACATAACAAATGATTACTAATTATTTCATAAACAATTGATTCCTAATTATTTTGGTTGGTTGCTAACTTGTTGCTTTTGATATGCAGAAGATAGACTCACAGGAATCTGGAAACAATTCAAGTACCCAACATCCATTGAATTATACCATGCCAGCTCAAATCCTAAATGGTGTTCATCCAATGACTTTTCCATTTCAACAAGTTCTTCACTTTGATCCAACAAATAGAAATTATCATGCTCATGCCGATCAACAACCTCGCATTCACCTTGATCCAATTAATGGATTCTCCTTCTAGAGTCTTTTGAATGCTCTAATGTGCAATACTCAAACTCGTGATGCAACCAAAGAACGAAAGAAGAGAGAAAAAGATACTCAAAATCATACCAACTCTCAATCTTCGATTGCAAAAAAGGACTGGTCAAAAGAAGAAGAGATTGTATTAACAAAAGCATGGTTATATGTTTCTGAGGATGCTGAAGTTGGTAACAATCAAAAGGGAGCAGCTATGTGAGATCGTATTTTAGAAGCTTGGAAAGAGAATATGGGGGTTACATGCAATACGGCTCGAAATAACAACAGCCTGCAACTCAAATGGTCTAAAATACAATTTGCAGTGAGCAAGTTTCATGCACAGTATAAGCGTTTAGAACGGCATCCACAAAGTGGTTCGAACTCAGATGATCTGGTACGAATGTTGTTTTATAATTTAATTTATCGAGAGAGATTAAATCTTGACTCATGTCTTAAAATTAATCTACATGAGCAGTCTCATGAATTGCTCTTTTATCATAAACGATATGTGGTCATTTAAACTTAAAGATAGGATGAAGATGGTTATTTTGACCTTTATTACTACTAGGACTCGTGGTATTGGTGGATTAATGAAACTAGCCCAAATTTAAATTGTTGTATCCAATTTCATTTAACCATGTCACAGAACAAGTAAATTTTGAGAATTGAAATAAATTCATCTTCTTTTTTCTTTCTCTTGCATTGACTAAGTCTGAAACCATTTTTCTATAAAAGCAATATTCATTCCACTGTTGTAACCATTTTACCATATGAATGTTGTTTTATTATTTAATTTCTAGTTATATTTATCAAGGATGACGTTTTTATATTAGTTCATTACAGTTAATCTATAATAATCATCATTTAATTAGTATATATTTTTGTTTCTTATGTAGAGAATAAATGCTATGCGGTCGTATGAAGATTTAGTCGGTGCTCCATTTAAATTTATCCATTGTTGGAAAATTTTGATTAAAAATCCTAAATGGTGTTCGAAAGAGCTTACAAAGACGGCGGCTACAGGACGTAAACAAGGAGTTGAGCACAACAAAACAACAATGGTCAATCAACTAGAAGGCAACATTAATGATTGTGATGTTATTTCTGATTGTACCAAAGTTGATGGCGTTGAGCGACCGCAAGAAGAAAAAGCCTGTAAAGAGAGGAAGAGAAAACTGAATGAGGAAAAAAGTGTGGTTGATGCATCGAGCAAGTTGCAGTCACATTAGATAAACAAGTTAACATTAATCAAGCAACTTTAGAGATGAAAAGAGAAAAAGATGCAAAAGAACTACAGCTAAGGGGGGAAGTAATGCAAAAAGAACTAGAATTAAAAGAGAGAGCTCAAAAGTTGAAAGAAAAAATGTTTATAATGAAGTTGAAAGAGCAAAAGAGGCAAGAGCAAGACCACTTTATGAACCAAGACTTAAGCAAGTTTTCCCCTACTCGTCGAGCTTATTATGAACTTAGAAAGGCTGAAATCTTGAAAGAATTGGAGGATGACGATCCTCGCAAATTTAATCCGGTATGTTGATACTCATTCTTAACATCCTATTTTTCCATTTATATATTTATGCGGTGAAAAGAGTTGATGCATTGGAGGTTACAAAAGTTCGAGAGTGAATTTTTTCACGGGTCTTATTATGGTATGCTTTATTATTTGGCTTGACTTTATTTGGTGTCGTTTAAACTATATATTGATGCAATGATTTTTTTTTATTATTATTATTTTCAGGACTTATGAGCACTTGGAGTTTGGGATGACTTTTGTCTAAAACCTTGTAGTTTGCTAAGTTTAAGATCATCTCAGATCATCTCATATGAAATTGTTACTAGGGCCTTGAAGTATTTGTTATTTATATTTTTTTCTTATGTTTTTTACGTTTATTTGGTTTGTTCAATACTCAGTTGGGGATGATAAGACGTTAGTTGATTTTGTTTATCATGATTTCATTTTATGGAGAACCAGTTATTATATTTGGCAACTAGTAAGATTCTGCCAAGCTTTATTCAAATTACCATAACTCTCTCTGTACTTAATATTTTTTACTTCCGTTTTTTTTGTTGGAAACTAGACTCTTGTGCCTTTCCAATAGTATATCATATGTTTTATAGTTAGCAATCAATAAAGTCAGTTTATTCCTTAAAACTGATGGTTAAACGTGAATTTTTTTTGTCAATTATTTTTTCCAGCAAATAGAAAAATTCTGCCAACCTTTATTCAAACTACCATAACTCTCTCTATATTTAATATTTTTTACTTCCGTTTTTTTTGTTGGAAACTAGACTCTTGTGGCTTTTCAATGGTATATCATATATTTTATGGTTAGCAATCAATAAATGCAGTTTATTCGTTAAATCTGATGGTTAAACGTGAATTTTTTTTGTCAATTATTTTTTCCAGCAAATAGAAAAATTCTGCCAACCTTTATTCAAACTACCATAACTCTCTCTATACTTAATATTTTTTACTTCCGTTTTTTTTATTGGAAATTAGACTCTTGTGGCTTTCCAATGGTATATCATATGTTTCATGGTTAGCAATCAATAAATGCAGTTTATTCGTTAAATCTGATGGTTAAACGTGAATTTTTTTTGTCAATTATTTTTTCCAGCAAATAGAAAAATTCTGCCAACTTTTATTCAAACTACCATAACTCTTTCTATACTTAATATTTTTTACTTCCGTTTTTTTTGTTGGAAACTAGACTCTTGTGGCTTTCCAATGGTATATCATATGTTTTATGGTTAGCAATCAATAAATTCAGTTTATTNTGAAGCTTTTTTGTGTCAACATGACACGGTTCGAAAACACAATTATAAAATTAAAGGTAAAGTGACTAACAAACTCATCAACATTCGATGTAGTTGAACAAATTAAACATTTTAAAAGCTGAAAACTCATAAATAAAATATCAATCTATTACTTGTTTTATAAAAAATGATAAACTCAAGGATTGTCATCCCACAAGATAAATATTATTCAAATGATCCAAATAAAAGAACAAAATTAAGCAACTTGATGGCCACCGTAAAATTCTCATATATGATTAATAAGATCAGTCTTCAAATCCTTGTGCACTCTTTTGTCCTGTATTTGTTTCATGCGACTATTCATCCTTTTCATAAGAAAAGTAGAATCTTCTGGAGTAACATTCTCATCCGCTTCATCTCCATGAGGTTGCCAACTTCTGGATTCATGCTTTGACTATGCTCGGACTCAATAATCATATTGTGTAATATTATACACGTCTTCATTATTTTTCCCAAATCTTTTGCATTCCACATACGAGCTGGTCCTTTGACAATATGTCATCGGCTTTGTAGCACTCCAAATGCTCGCTCCACATCTTTCCGTACGGCTTCTTGATGCTTTGCGAATATTTTTTCTTTCAATGATGTTGGGTGAGATATTGTTTGAATGAGTGTGGCATATTGTGGATAAATTCCGTCAGATAAATAATATCCCATATTATAATGATGGTCTTGCACTACAAAATCACATTGTGGTGCAACATCATTAACAATATCATCGAATAACGGAGACCTATCCAGGACATTAAGATCATTATTTGTACCAGCCATGCCAAAAAATGCATGCCAAATCCATAGATTCTTTGAGGCTACATTCTCTAAGATAAGGGTCGGAACTCTTTTGAAGCCATTTGTATGTGTCCCATGCCAAGCCGTGGGACAATTTTCCAATGTCAGTGCATAAAATCAAGATTACCAAGCATACCAGGAAATCCTCGAGCCTCACCTTCTTTTAACAAGCTTTCAACATCAAATTTATTAGGCCTTCTTAAATATTTTTCTTCATATATTCCAATGATAGCATCACAAAAACGTTTTAGACTTTCAAACGCCGTACTTTCACCAATTTGTACATATTCATCAAGGAGATCGGCAGCACAACCATACGCAAGCATACGTACAGCTGCAATCATTTTTTGTAAAGGACTCAAACCACGTTTTCCCACCGCATCGAATTTTTGTGTAAAATAGTCATCATAATGTTCAATCGCTTGTAAAATACTTTTGAATAACTCAATATCCATCCGAAATTGACGTTGGAAATGTTCAGGTGTATATTTAGCATTCTCACCTTTGAAGTAGTCATTGAGAATAAGTTCATGACGTTGTTCCCTATCACGACAAATGTAGCGTCGACTGCTTTCTGTTCCACCATGAGGACGGTTGTGTATGTTAATACTGGGAACATTATCACAAGAATATGAACCGAGCATGTTTGAATGACATCAAAACTCTGAAATAAAATATCATCTTCGGATGACTCATCTAATAATTGTTTGGTAAGTGAAAGTTCGTCATCGGTTGATGTGCTACAAGAATCTGATTCATCGTATATTGAAATCATTACAACCTGCATTATAATTGTAAATGTCGTTAAATAAATTATAATACAATAATAACAATAACAATGAATTAGAAATAATTAAGAGACCAAAGAAATATGTGCTCAAAGAAATATGTGTCTTGTAACTGAAAACATCTTTAGATGAATATATTTTTATTAATTGTTGAAACACAAAATGATAATTTCTATAAAGAATTTCTAGTCAATCAAGAGGTCTAATCTGTATTCATGCACCATAACATATTTCTAAAGTGCCTTTGCAGAAACAAGCATGTTTATAAATAATTAAATAAACATAATATTAATTACTGTAAAAAGAAAATAAATGAATTATATTCTTATGTTACAACAACAACAACAACATACCCAGTATATTCTTATGTTAAAACATAAAATTAGACTCTTGATATCCTTTCTTAACCTTACTTGTAGAATGAAAATGATATTAAAATCAGTAGTTACAATTGCCATCCAAAAAATAATAAGAAAGATGAGCAATAACATCTATCACCTGGAATGATATAAATGTAAAAAGGTAACAAAAATAGTTAATTAGCATCATAGAATGATAATATTTGATTGAACAAATTGAAATAAAAAATTAATAAACTAATTTTATCTCATTTTATCTATTAATCGTATTTAGCATAAAATTTCTCATGATATGTAGATTTGATCCTACCTACATGGCACAACAAAATGTTTTTTATTGAATTAAAAATTCAATAATGTGGAGTGAACAAAAATTGTGATAGCATGCATGATTTTAATTAAATTAAAAAAATGAATTAAGAAAGAAAATAGGAAATTGATTAAATGAATTACCTTGAATTTGGAAGTAATCACGAGTTGAAAATAAAGTTGTAATCTTTTCTAAACATGGTATTTATAATGCTCAATGCAAAACAAACTTGCTATTTTTTTTAAAAAAAAAAAATTATGTTGATGAGATGATATAGTAAAACCAAATCAATCAATTTTATCCCAATGGTTGTTGAAAACCGAATTCTATCCCAATGGTTGTTGAAAACCGTGCCAAATTTTGTTATTTGGTCGTTTACATGGTCAAGACATTGAACATAAAATTAGTGCATTGGAAGTTACAAAGAGTTTTAGTCTCTTTCCAAATAATTCCATATTGACAGTTCCATTCATGTTATGCCATGTGGCAACTATTTTTAAGGATGGACAGTTGCACATTAAGATGCTCTTAATGACTCACAACAGCCCCCTTAACCCGAGATGAGTTACTTCACTTTAGCTTATATGTATGTATTTTTTTTTTTTTTTTTNAAACTAGTACGAGTGTTGAATTAGAAAACTTTTGTAAAAAATATTAAATTTTTATTTTTTTAAGAACTAAAATAATTTAATTTTATATAAAACATTACTTTGGGTTTTAACTAAATTGTCAAATTATATTTATTTAATCATAATAATTAAATACCCGTACATTAAATGAAAATGTCAACCCGTGTTCAATTTTTTTACTTATATCATATAAAAATATCGATATTATTTACCATTACATAAGTACAAAAATATATATCTTAAATAAATATAAATAATATGGTGATATGAATATGCATAAGTGTAGAATATGTTTATTTAATATTAGCAAAATAGATTAATTTTTTTACTTAATTAGATGCCTAATACATCAAGGGTCGTATCAGTCGTGTTTCACTTTTTCTAACTTTATATGTAATTTTAGAATTTATATAAATAATTATTTATTTTTATTATATTGACAACATACCAATTAGATTTGAAATAAATATCATTTTTAAAAGAATACATACCAATTTCTATTACTTTATAATATTATTTATAGTTTTATTTGATATAATTTAATTTAATTTGATAAATAAATTTAAATTTTATTTATAAGGATATTTTTTAATTTCTTGTATTATATATATGTATATATAGTAAAATACAAACGGACTTCATAATATTAATTCAAATGTAACACACTAATTAAGATTTTTATTTTCTTGACAATATTAACCCTATTTAATGGATGTTATGGGAAACGATGGAGATGCGATATGAAGATACACTGTATATTAGATGGAGAGTTAAAAATGGAAAAATATGAACAAAATATTTAAAACGACATTTATTTTATCTATGATCAATTAAGTTAAAGTGACAAATAATAAAAATAGGAGGGAGTATATATATTATATATTTTAGTATGATACGTGTTACTTGTGCGACTTATATGTGTTATATTATAATAATTTTTTACCTTATAACATATAACTACATTAAACATAAATATATTAATTGATAAATAATTTTATTTTTTTAATTAATTTTAATAAATAATTTTATTAATATTATAAAGATAAATATAATTTATTTATTTTATATATACAATATGGATGTCAAATCGAAGCTCATCAATAGATGATTAATTTGATATATTATATATGTAAAACCGATAAGAAATACAAAAGTTAATAACTTTTAAAATATATTTGCAATTCAATGGTTATAATAGGAAATTATATTAAAATATAATTAATACAAATATTAATTTATATCCAACCTAACTTCAAAGTATGATTTTTTGTCAAATAGGATTCCGAAGCATGATAATTTACCACGTAGGCTCAACGCATTATGAAATTATATATAGAGGGGATTTGTACAACAAAGTTTTTTTTTTTTTTAAACTTAAGTTTATCTCATAAATTTATTTAAGTAACATTTCAAATAAATTTATTGAAATTTTTATTTCACCTAGTTTATTTACTAAATTTATCATAAATTAATCAAATAAACTTAGTTGTCTACCATACTTGTACCAATTAAAAAAAATTGGGTCAAATAATCTATTTGAAATTTTCAATCAACTAATTAAACTTTAATCTAAAATAATTAGCCTTTAAATACCACTATGCCCTTATAACCCTAATTAATTTCCATCTCCACCTCCTCTCCAATTCTTCCACTACAAGACGAGAGTTTGCAAGAATTTATTATTACACTTTAAATTCGAGTCACCTTAACAAGAAAAAATGTCTGCTTTTTTGCAGAACCCACTTTCTCTTTGTTCGCCTGGAGTTCAGTATTTACCCGCTGTTGATTATCACCATTTGTTGCCGAGATATAAGTTAATCAGCCCATTTTCTCGTTGCCCGTTTAGTAAAGTTTCGACCTTTTTGCCTTATGCTGTGCAAAATTCAAGAACCCATGTGTCTCCCGTACACTCCTCCTTCAGCCAGGTTAAAAGACAAAAAGCGATTCTTGATTGTTTATATTTTTTGTTTTCGTTTGTTCTTTTTAAGTTTTTCAATTATTTTTGTGGTGGGCTGTAGTTGATAGAGACATTAATAAGCGGGGTGGATTTGTCTGAAGATGAAGCTGAGGCCTCTCTTGATTTCTTGTTGGACGGTGCTGATGAGGCTTTGATTAGCGCGTTTTTGGTGCTTTTGAGAGCTAAAGGAGAAACTTATGAAGAAGTAAGTGTTATTTTTTTTTTTTTTTTNTGTTCTTTTCTCAGAATGTCAGCTTTTTTGGAATTTTTTCTACAATTTAGTTCTGTCCAATTTCACAGTTGATATGAATTGAGACATGAGTGTAATGGGCCTCCATATATGTCCCTCTTTTCACATATGTAGTTCTTATGTTGTTTAAATCATATTCTTAAAAGGGCCATCTTTTGTTTTAAATCATATCCTTCTGCTTTTGAGATAGGATCTAGTGATTGGTTGTAAATAGACATGAAGAGATGTTTACTTTGGCTGATGGAACACTATGTTGACTCAAAAGGGACATTCTTTTAGATCATTGAAAATATAATGTCTTCCTAGTTTGATGATGAACACAGAACATATTACGAGATAGTACATACAGATGTTTTCGTCTTATCTTACTCAGCTTGCCAAAATGTAATTAAATTGGTACGGTTGGCACTTGGCACTTGCACTATAGAGTTATAAGTTAAAGAGTATGCAGTAATGAATGTATGAAGGTAGGTTAAAAAAACACATTCATTATGACAGTGAAAAGTGTCTAATTATAATCTGAAGTAGAACACAATGATATAAATACTGACCCACAAAGAGTATTTAATAATAGGTAGTTGGGCTAGCAAGAGCTATGGTAAAACGCTGCAAGAAAGTGGAAGGACTTGTTGATGCAGTGGACATTGTTGGGACTGGCGGTGATGGAGCAAATACTGTGAATATCTCTACTGGGGCCTCAATTCTTGCTGCTGCTTGTGGAGCCAAAGTTGCTAAGGTGTGGTATCTAAATGTCATATCCATATTACTCGGAAGAATTTGCAAGAATTTTAGAAAAATCTAGAAGCTGAGGATTGCTGGTTTTATTGTTTGCAAATGCTCCCTAGATTCGAATATTCTTCATTCATGTTTCTCTCTCTTTTCTTCCTTTTTCTTTTAAGAAAATAATCCTTTTTTTTTTTTTTAAATGAGTTGGAGGCTTGAAATCAGCAATTGCATTGCAGCAAGGTAATCGGTCTAGTTCATCTGCTTGTGGTAGTGCCGATGTACTTGAAGCATTGGGAGTTGAAATTGGTTTGGAACCTGAGGTATGTGCTAGATATAGTATGACTTTTTTCGTTCTTTAAACTTTTTAAACTGGCATAATAAAAAAAATGTACACATTATATTGAACATGCAATTTTCACAAACGAGAAGGGGCGTAAATCGTAATAGTGGATCATTTGGTATCATCCCGCATTTGACATGCACTTCTTGTCATGAAATCAGTTGGTAATTAATGATTAAAAGTTAAAACTAAATATGATTAGATGTTTGGTATTTATAGTTGTTTTTTCTACCATGTTTTGATAAGAGAAATGGGTAACAGGGACCACATGAAAACATCCTGTGACCTTACACTCTTAAATGTCCAATTTGGGGTTGTGGGCAACCCCAACATTGACCTTTAACCAAATGGCCTAAAATGAATTCAATGATCCACTTGGCACTGGACATACATTTATAATAGTTTGAACTTTTGCAACATCTCATCTATGAATTTATTTGGCACAAGAACTACCTTTGAGGCTTTCATTCTGTTTTGAGTGAATATGGTGATAAAATAATTTAGAGATAAACTTTTATAATGTGTTTTGTGGCTTATTTCTATCAGAGTTTTTCTGTGCCAAGGATTTTATTTTTCCTTTTTTTTCTTTTTCTGTGCTTTTTTATAGTACAGAAGAATGTGATAATGTGCTGATAATTTCATATAAATTTTTTAATGAGAGAGGGTATACTTAAAAACATGCCAACTGATGAACCTAAACAATATCTTGCATATCTTCAGCCACTCGTTTATTAGGCCTATTTTATTGTGTTTAGGGGGTTGCTAGGTGTGTTAATGAAGTAGGGATCGGCTTTATGATGGCCGGCAATGCAAATCGTTAGACCTATCAGGAAAAAGCTCAAAGTGAAGACTGTGTTCAATATCTTAGGCCCTATGTTGAATCCTGCAAGAGTCTCGTATGCTGTTGTTGGTGTGTACAAGGAAGAATTGGTGAGTTATAAATTTGCGAATTGTGGTGTTGAATCAATTTATTTATGCGAATTGAAGTTTTCTTTTGAATTTCATCATACTTTTTTTGTTTTTTCTTCTTCTAAATGTGCTTCATATTTATTTATTTATTTTCCATTGCTAGGTGCATAAAATGGCAAAAGCACTTCAAAGATTTGGCATGGAAAGAGCACTGATTGTTCACTCAGAGGGACTGGACGAAATGAGTCCACTCGGTAAAATTAGATAACATCTCTTTTTATCTTAACCGCAACATATTAATTCTGCAAACATAGAAAGATTCGAGCTCCATTTTGATTTTTTCTTCATAAAATTGTTAACTATATAGCTTATGTCTTTTCATTTTCATGTAATTATACTCAGATTCTTTCTTGAAATTTTTAAAACAGGGCCCGGATTAGTCCTTGATGTCACACCAGATAAGATAGAGAAGTTCGCATTTGATCCATGTAAGATTCTTCAACTTACATAATAAATTCGTGTTGTTACCCTTTCCCTTTTTTCACTCAATAACTTATAATTGGTTCGATTTATTGTTTTATCTTGAATAATTTATTAGTGGATTTCGGTATTCCCCGATGCACTCTGGACGATTTACAAGGCGGAGACCCTGATTACAATGCTGAAGTTCTTAAACGCGTACTATCAGGAGAAAAGGGCCCTATAGCCGATGCCTTGGTAATTTTACAACCTTACATATATATTTTTTTTTTTTTTGGTTTTTTCCTTCTTTCCATGTTCGCCTAGCAGTTAATCTTTTCGACACACAACTCTATTAGTAGTACTCACTTAATCGAGGATCATAAAAGCTACTTACTACTCCTTGAGCTTCTGTCTAATTACTGTAAAACTCGACATTTAAGAACTGCAAATGCTTCCTTCATACTTTGTTTCGATTTTACAGATCGCAATCTGTAAAGGAATTTTTGTACTAGCTCAAGTTTTTTTTTTTTTACTTTATTTTATTTATTATTATAACAATGATAAAACTTCTGGAATGGAATTTCACAGGTGTTAAATGCAGCTTCAGCTCTCTTGGTAAGCGGGCAAGTCGAATCTCTTGCCCAGGGAGTAAATCTTGCTCGGGACACACAACAGTCGGGAAAAGCTTTTGAGACGCTCAATTTTTGGATTATTGAATCGAATGTTAGAAAATATAAGGATGTAATGATTAGTTCTTCTCCTATTTCGACACGAGCTGACAGCTATAATATACTTCACTTTTTTTCAGAAAGCGAAAGAGGCGGCTAACCATAGTGGCACTCCCATTCTTACATGAAAGCCAATAGTACGAGTTTGAGCTTAAACACTGACATTTTCATCCCTAAAGACGATAAAAAAAAACATTACCATTTACTGAGTCTGTAACTTTCGGGTGCGGCATTCTTTTACTTGTTTTCGTTTTGTTTTTTTTCATTTACTTGTTTTCGTTTTGTTTTTTTTTCATTTGGATTGTCGTTTATTTAGACATCGAACTGTAGTTTTGTGACTTTTCAGCCCACTTACGGCCTCTTTATATACAGGTTGGGGGTTCGGCCTTNTTTTTAAAACTCTGTTTTAATGTTTTGTTTCAAAAATATTTCATAATGCTTCCTCGAATCAATTGTAAACCATCATGAGGCAGTGTCAAAATAACAGCTAACAGTATAACTTATTCTTTAATTTTATTGATAGCTCAAATTGTGGCCACTGCTTACGATATAATAGTGGGTTGGGCCACTTATCAATCATGTTTGAACAAAGAAGATCATTGTAGCCCAGACTATCTAACCCGTACTACCAAACTTGGTATTTTTATTTTTTATTTTTTTATGTAGTATAATTATCAAAAGTTGCATATACTTTGGATCTAAGATAATAGTATCATTATCAAAATTTATGTAACTTTTGCATCTAATCCATTATCTTAATTTATTATCTTTTGATGATTTCGGTCGAGCTAGGTATATTATTGTTATCAATTTACAATTACTAATTTAGATATTGATATAAGCAACTATTTTAAACATCAAAAGAATAATTTAACTGAAAATCTTCCAAACATTATGTGAAATATTATGTTATGTGTAGTATTGCATATTAAAAAAAATGAATTAACCAATGGAAATTTATTATAATTAAAATAAATAATATTTTATCTCACTAATTGTATATTAGACATTACCGTGAATTGATTGATTATTGGATTTTTTTTATTAAGAAAACGAAACATCTCGTTAAAAAAAATGTGAGATGGAAAAGTAAAAAGAAATTATTTTTTAAAAAAAGAGATAATTTGATTTTGAAAACATATATGATATAAAAATATAATAATTAAAGTTAATATGTTATAAAAATAATAAAATATATAATTGATGAGGTAGGTATTTAGAACTATGTTGGCGGACCAATATTTTTTTGGATGATATTATAATAATTAATATTTATTTTTTAATTATATTACTGGAATTTATGGAGAAAATTCTATAAAAAATAATAATATTTAAAAAAAATTCACTTCATTTTCAATTTTAATGAGTTAAATTTTAAATGGACAGATAAAAAAAAATATCATTTGTCTAGTCTTAATTAATTTTTTTTCACTTTCACCAAATTGTTAAATACATTAATATTTTGCAACTCTAGAAAATGAAAAAACAAATTATAATATATAAATATTTATATAGAAGAATAATTTTATATAATTCACTATATTACTAACCATGTATTTAAATTGTAATGAAAAATCAACCAAACTTGGAAAAATTCCACATAGGAAACATACCTAAATTGTACTCCTGCACATGGACTGAAGTACATAAATTATGGGCGGAGGTTGTTAACGATGGGGCCCACACTTTACCAATAAAAGGGACCTGAAAATAAATAATCAGCACTATATATTTTTTTTCCTTCATATCATTTTAGCCCCTTCACTCTGTTAAATTTCCCTCAAAATTCGAGTGGATAAAACCGAAAAACTCTCTCTCTCACGCACAAAACACACACAAACACAAAATCGCGGCCGAGTTGAGCCGACTTGAGCTGAACAGCTGTTAATCCGGCGGCACCGGACGATGTCGTTTTGAGCGCTTTAACTGTAAACCCGCGCCATGAGCTTGAGTTTCGGCTCAGACTCTTCCGTTTATTCGCCGGACGCCGTGGAGTGGAGGTTTTCCCAAGCGTTTGGCGATAAGCTCCCCGGAGAAAGTATACAGGACGGTGAGTTCAGTTTCTGACGCCTGCGGGCTGTGTTTGGGCTTTGTTTCATCGAATTTGTGATTTTGCGAGTTTGTGTTGGGAATAATTTGGTTTGTTTGGTTGTGTCATGTGTGTTTGGTTGGTTTTTTGTGTAGCTGATCTTATTACGGCGCTTGAGTTCGATAAGAATGGAGATCACCTGGCTGTGGGCGATCGAGGAGGTCGCGTTGTCATCTTTAAGCGGGATGGTGGTAAAGATGTGCGAAATTTCCCTTTTCGTTTTTCGTTGTTTTTTTTCCAATTTTATCCAATTTTTGGCTCTTGCAAGGAAGCAATTTACCTTCTTAAGCGTGTTGTGAAGGATGAGAAGTGCATGAACTGGAATAAGTGTGCATAGTGGAAATGTTTGATTTTTTGGTTTATTGTGGAAGTCTGAAGTACTGTAGCATGAGATTGACATGAAAAGCTGGCACTTCCTGGATACATAATTTTCATGTTAGTTTTGTTGAACTGCACCCTGTTTTTTATTTTGTTGTTTTTCTCTCTTAACTCCACTGAATTGGTTGGATGACAGCGTGCCTTAAAGTGAATCGCGTTGAAAGTTAATGTCTTTACACGTGTTGTCTGTGAGATTGAACGACACGTGCCTTAACGATAAATGTGTGCTGTTGAAACTTAATGCACCTACACGTGTTGTCTGTGATCAATCAAACAGGAGAATAGAATACCATGTGTCTTAAAGGTGAACGAGCATCATTGAATGTTTTAATGAATCAACGTGTCATCCATGTGATCAGTGAAATAGGAAAGTGGAATAGTAAACAGAACCGAACGACTAGTTTAATGTTTATTTTCGTTGGTGTTGTAGGACGTAGACGAACTCACTTCACGGCATGAATTAGAGAAACTCGATGGTGCTCTGCTAAAACATCCTACATATCAGTACAAGACAGAATTTCAGAGTCATGAACCCGATGTACGTACTATGCAACAGATTTTTTTCATAATTTGCAAATTTTTGCATAGATTGGGGCATGCTCAACTCTCTGGTTTGTGGACTACAAGTATCTTGAAAGAACTCTACAGAGTCTGTGAACCTTGTTGGTAATGTCTTTTGTTACAGTTTGATTCTTTGAGGAGCATTGAGATTGAAGAAAAGATCAATAAAATCAGGTGGTGCGTGTCATCAAATGGATCGTTGAGTCTTCTTTCAACAAATGATAAGACTATCAAGTTATGGAGGGTAAAACACTCTTCTATTTATCTTTTGTACAGAATGTTTTCCGAGCCTGGGATTGTCGAATATAACTTCTTGAAGAGAGATGTAAGGAAAGCACAATATGTTATAGGGACTATGTTAGATATACTGTGAGGTAGCTCATTAGAACTGTTTGTATAGATGGACTTGTTTCTTGATTCAAAGTATGCATGCTATGGAAAAAGATTCTCAGTTTAGAAGCTTTCAATTTTAATGATGATTGCGTAATTTATTAGGGTTGAAAACAAATACTAGTAGCTGAGTTCATAATTCAATTCTATTTCCATGCAATTATGTTAATGGGTGGTCAAAAGACAGGTCAAGGACCATGAAGCTAAGCAAGTCACAGAAATGGAAATCGGTCAATCTGTATCATCAGAGAATTCACTGTTGGCCGAAAAGAGTTTTATCAATGGGCAAACGACGAATGCTTCTAACAGCAATTCTTTAGAATTGACGGAAAACTTGTTGAATGGTGTATCATATAATGGAGGGAATAAAAAGGTATGCATTTCAGAGTTTAGATTTGTACACACGTTTCATCTCTTTGTATTCCATAATAACTGAGATATGTTTTCCTTTATCTAGATAGCATATTTAGAGGATGCTACTCGAGCAAGATGTCGAAGGGTGTATGCACATGCTCATGATTTCAATGTCAACTCTATCTCAGTTAATAGGTATGGTTAGCATGTGTGTTTAGTTGTTTTTCTAGATTCCCTATTTATTTAGATTTGTCTAAATTGTTTCTTTTCAATCTAAAACTCTAAATCCTCTATTCTATAATGTATTTCATCTCCTTCTCCAAAAATCTTAAATACACGTCTAATGTAAAGGACCTCGTAGACGTTATTGGCTTAGTAAATTTTAAATAAGTGATTATACAGATTTTGTAATCGAGATTCTTATATCAGATGTCTTGTGCATTGTTTGTGGCTGTAACTGGAAATTTCTGTCCCCTCAACCTGATAAAGAAAGAAAATTACATCCAATACAAGCACAATAAAATTCAGATTTATGCTCAATAATTATTTTCTATGTATACCACTTGACGAACTCAACTATAGAATTCAAAAAGAGTTTGAGATTCTAAAAATTGTCACAGCTATTCTAATGGAATTTGCATGATTTTTTTTTTTGAAGTGATTGGGAGACATTTCTTTCCGGAGATGACCTAAGAATAAATTTGTGGAATCTTGAAGTTAGCAACCAGTGTTTCAATATAATCGACCTGAAGCCTACAAACATGGAAGATCTCATAGGTATTTTATCTGACGTATCATAAGGGCTATATCTTTTACCTTGCCATCATCAATCTGTCATTCTATAGTACTCGTTGTCATTTTTCAAGTGGATCATTTTCAGAAGAAAAAGGGTATTCATTCATCTACTTTTCTCTACACCTTTATTGTACTTATTTTCTCAGAGAAATAAATGAGCAGTGGGTAAAATTGACTTTGACTGCAACATTCAATCCACCCCTTGTCTCTTCTTCACCTTCGAACAAAACAAAAGAATAACTAAGCTTTGATGAATTTTGTTAGAGGTGATCACAGCAGCAGAATTCCACCCATTTCACTGTAATTTACTGGCTTACAGCAGTTCAAGGGGATATGTTCGGCTTGTAGACATGAGACAATCAGCTCTATGTGATCATAATGCGAGAATGTGAGTATTATCATCTGCATCGCATTTTGTTGCTGATGCTACTATAATTTGTTTTCACTTCCGATGCTACTTAAATTGTTTTCCACTTCTGTAACATCAAATATTTACTTTTATAGATTCAAAGATGAGGACTCCCAGCCGAAATCATTCTTCACCGAGATTATTGCATCAATAACTGATATGAAGTTTGCAAATGATGGAAGGCATATATTGAGCCGTGATTATATGAATCTGAAGGTCTCTCTACCACTCTTAACATTTAAAAAACGCGCTGTTTATAATACCATATATTCTCTATATTGGACATGAATAGAATCTATGCATCTCACTATCATTTTTTTTACTCACCCATCCTACTGTTCGAGTGTTTGTAAACTCCCTAATTCCAGATTTGGTGTATGCTTCGAATCTAAACAGAAACTTTTTTTTAGTCAAGATCTCTGTTATTCATGCACTGTTGTTTTCCCCTTGCCTATTTTATGCCTTATTCAAACAGTAAAATACTAAATGATATTGGCATGCATTAATTTTCTTGTCATGTCTCTCATTTTCTTTCTCAGCTCTGGGATATGAACATGGATGCCGGTCCAGTTGCAACATTTAGGGTTCACGACAATCTTCGGCCTAAAGTGAGAAACCCAATACCGGCCAATAGGAATATAGCACAAATCCTTTTGTACTTTCGCAATTCTTATGATTACATATATTTCATGTCGTATTTTTCGATGTTGATGCACTTACTTTGTATTGTGACGTACAGCTGTGTGATCTGTACAACAATGATGCAATATTCGATAAGTTCGAATGCTGCCTTGCTAAAGACCGGCTTAGTTTCGCTACCGGGTCTTACAGGTTAGTCTTGTTACTGAAAAACTGTTGGCAGCAATNTTTTTTTATTTATAATTTTGATAATAGGAAACCGCAAATCCAGACGACATCAAGACCTCGTCGATCATCCTTGAGCAACTTGGCTAGAGGATTTTACCGACCAGGTGCTCTCTTTTTTCCTCATGCCTTTTGGCTTCATTTTTTTTTTTCGTGTCTTTTAATTCTTCCCGGTGATTCTGTAATATAATCTTTCAGGCCATGATTCCAATAATTTGGGAAGTACCGATTTTTCGTATGACTTCAATTCTAAGTTACTCAACCTGGCTTGGCACCCGACGACCGATTTGATTGCCTGTGCCACGGGAGGCACATTATTTATGTATCATGCTTAATGATGCGAAATGACAAGCATGCAGAGTAAGTAACCTAACTGGAATGTCTTGCAAGGGTTTGTGTGTAGAGTGTTTTGTGGTTTTGCAGAACCAAAACTTAGGAATTGTAAGTTATTTTGTGTATAGATTGAGATGTGGTTAATGTGGACGTAGAAAGTGTACAGGAGTATGATTCAAACTTTGAATCTTGATTTCAACTATATATCAAAGTCTATAGTCTAGGGGTATGCAAAGTTTGACTAAAATAAATAAAAAAAAAAAACAAAAACGACCAGAAATAAAAATTTCGATTCGGTTTTGCACGTTGATTCGATTATCGATTTTACTTGTAGAACTTTGGTTACTTTGGTTTGGTTTTGGTTGTTTTAAAAATAACCAAACCTATCGAATTATATTAAAAATATATACTTATATAGAATGTGGATATCAATTCGAATATCATCAAAGACTATAAATTTGATATAATATACAAAAAAAGAAAAAATAATAATAATCAAAAGTATTATAAATTTTGAAAATATGATTACAATTTAAATTGACTTTGAATTTTAAAAGTTATAATAGACATACAAATCTACATAAACTACTTCAAACTTGAAAGCATAAGATTTGACATATAAGAATGCAAACACCAAAACTCAACACATAGAATTACAAAAATTTGATACACATGCTCGAAAAACTATGCATTTATATATAGAGACAGTTTATGTATTATTATTATTATAACAACCAGAGAAAAATAAGTTTATATGCATTCTACACCATTCAGAAATGTCGCTGGAAAGTAGAAAAACACTATATGGGCACATTTTCAGCAAACTTCGAGATCAGTGGGAAAATAAGAAGAAAAATCTACACACACACACACATAAAACACACATGGGGTGTGTGCATCACAACGAATGGGCCTCATACAACTGTCATATCCTATATCTCCTGGGAAAATCACCCAACAAATAAACGTATCATGTACTAGAAACGAAATTGGGAGGGAAAACAGAGGAAATGGAGCATAAAATCAACACACATAGAGAGAGAGAGAGACTTAACAAATGTGGTACATCTCTTTAGCCAACTCGTAAATTGTGCCCTCTGTTTTTCCCTAGCAGGGTTCAAGCAAAGAATTAGATCATGCACTTAATGATATGCTCTTCTGAGTCCCAATGTTCTGTGGCTTTATTTCCCACGACTCGACTTCGTCAACTTCCTCCGCAAGTATAAAAGGCAAAGATATCTCGCGGATCATTAGATCACCACAAAACGGGCACTCACTAGCTATGGCATCGTCCAGCTGTGACCGTATCTGTCCAAAAACTTCTTCTCATGAGAACTAATTCCGACACATTCCACAAAACAAACAAGATAATTATTGTGTTATTTCAGGTAAAATTCGGACCTTTTCTGCAGGACTCATGCTCGTTATGGGTTCCTCGTCTGTTAACCCTCCGTTCATTTCTCCCCTCGGTTCATTTCCTAGTAAAGTCAGCTGCTTTTGCAAATCCAGTATGTATTCAGCCTGAAGAAAATCAAATGAAATAAAAAGGATATTTAAAGGAAACATATACTCCGGGTATCGCAAATTGATGTTGAATAAGATCATCATGTTACTATCTTGAAAAAGGTGATATGGTTAGTTGTTAGTTGAATTTTGAGTTTATATTAAAATAATATTTAAAATAAAATAATTAAAGTTGATTTGAAGTAAAAGTAGGAGAGAGATTATGTGAAGCGATGGTTAGTTAAAATTATGTGAGTGGATGAATAATGAATTAAAATTGATGTGATGTGTAAGAACTAAGAATTATTGATTTATATTATTTAATTATATTGGTAATACTGAGGATAGTGGAATTGAGGTAAAGTTGAGTTAGATTTTGATTACGAATTGAGTATGGGTTGAGTTATTTTATATACAAACAACCCCTTAGATTTTGGCAGATCCCTCTCGAGATTACCAAAGACGAGTATGTTTTTAGGTAGTTATAGCCCCAGCATTCGAATAATAGAATAGTGGAACCAAAGATAAAGCATACTCCACAAAATTCATCATCTCTAATTTCCAATAAATAAAAAGGTCAAAGATATCGAATATTCCACTAGACAGGAGAAGAAAAAAATGAGTAAAAGACAAATTTCTATACTCACTTGAGCTTCAGTAGTGCATCGAGTCACGTGGGCAATCAGGCAGTGAGCGTGAAAGGAATGTCCGCACGGGAAGACATAGAAAGGAGCCATAGATCCAACTGAAGTATAAGCCCTAGCCATCCTATAATCGATGGCCATATTTAAAATTTTTCTCCTACAAACCTGTTAAACCAAGTGAAAATGAGCTTCCAAACATGGGAGGTATTATCAATTTAAGGAACATTGAAGCCATCAACGAGTAAACATCACAGGGGATATTCCACAGGAGATTACCGAATAAAAAGAAAAGAAAGAAAGCAAAAAAGAACAAAGCCGAGAAAATTCCAAAATTGAGCGCGTTTTTAAGCCATCTGATTCACGGGAGAAATTTTTCTTAACCTTGGGCAAAGAAAAACCATGAGATAGTTACCCCGCATTCCTCATCCCGTTTAATGACGGCGTATCTTTGTGCAAGTGCACTTATATCGTTCCTTATGTTGTCCGCACCGTGTGTTGCATCATTCATCTCCTGTTTGAGTTTTTCAATTTGCTCGTTATAGTCCTCCAGAGATGAGCATATTGCTTCCTACATTTTTTTTTTGAAGAACCAAAAAAAAGAATTTTAGATGGGGAATAAAAAGCACAACTTAGATTCTCATCAGGTCATCCAACTTGGTAATAAATGCAAGCAGTAGTCTTCAACCCAAAAAATTATCCAAATACAAATAGATAAATTAGAAGATCGTATTTAAGTGAATAAGGAAGATAAAATATTCCGTTGGGACACAATTCCATCCGAGGAGTCCAAATTTTAGTTTTTCAATTTTTTTTTTATCTCTTTTTTACAGTTTTTGAGAATTCTCTTTCAATTTTAGTTTTTTCTTACAGTTTCAATTTTAGAAAATAAAAAAATAAAAAATCTATAGTTATAAAATTTTGGGAATGACAGGAGTGTGCCTCAATAAAGCATAAATGGAATACCTTGAAATCATCAATCATTGCAAAATCAGGAAAGAAAGGTAAGATATCCTCGATTTTCAGAAGCCCGTCAGTTTCCTTGAGAAAAGCTATGGCCTTTCGGATGTTCTCCCTCTTTGTTCCCTTCTCCTGTTCAATGACATGCTTGGCAACCATAAGCCAAAGTTTCTTTCTCAAATCTTCATCATCTTCTACCTTATCAGCTTCAGCCATAGCAAGCTCCGGATCAACCTATTAAGAAACATCTAAAGCATGTGAGGGAATGCATGCAATTCTGCTTATTGCATTCAACTACTCATTTTTCTCAAGCATTGGAAAAATCACTTAAAAAAAATTCAGCCTGATTATCATACAAATCAAAACAGATGAAGGAACTTTTATGACTAACGAGCATATATGCAATCAGTGACCCAAAGTATAAACTGGAAAACATTACCTGCAGAGCAAGAGCAACTGCTTCTTCATGCATAGACATCATGCTGTATATGTGGACACATGCACGCATCCGTTTTTGCTTCAGACAGAGGCGCAATGCATATTTTGGGTCATAGAAAAATTCAGGGCCATTTGGCTGCCCCTTTCCGAACTTGCATTGAAGAAAACGCAAAAGAGCACTCTCGTCCTCCTGAATTCAATACCGAAGACCTAAGAATTAGATTCACAGATATATCTAACCTTCCTCCATGTATATACGACATGATTCATATGAGAGCATGGATAAATTTAAATAGGCACACACTTTTACCGCATACATATTTGAGAAATGGAACGATTTTCAACCAAACATAGTTAACCCAAACCCTTTGCACCAAATCTGTGTGTGGTACCACGAGCTTATAGTTCAAGTTGTACTCGCACCCTATGTAAGATTATTGTACTAATTGATACAAGATTCGGCCCCTGTAAATTAAGTTTTTCAGGTATTTTGATTTCCCTCCCTGCCCGTCCCATCACCTATTATAAAATCTGTGTGGTATAAGAAGCATAAAAATCTCTCGAATTTAACATTCAGATAGATTTTTGCTTCACAAGAATAAGAGACAATAAACCTATGATAGACACTTGTTCACCATAAGGAATTTGCTCAGAAATATTAACCAAAGATTTGCAACATATTTTATGCATCCAGAAGGAACAGAAAAGAAAGACAAAAAACGAAGCAATTTAATAAATATTAATCATTTCTACAGGATACCCATAAAGCAACCTCACCTGCTTGGCATATAAAGAGAGTAACAAATTGTGAACACCATGATCCTCATTCTGCAAACGATGAACACAATACTCCAGATACTTTATCACTTCATGAGTTTCATTCCTGGATGGGAACATTTATATTAGGGAGAAGTATTTAAACAATTGGTCATAACAAATAAAATCCTCATTATAAAAATAGTTATACATGCATTTCAGCTTTCTTGTAATTGACTAGTTGAGTAATGCATGGCAATTTTAATGTTTCCTCTTCAATGTTCAAAATCTTTCCCCCAATGCCAATATTCCTCAAAAAGCCTCAACTGGTGACAGAGCACTCTGTTTTATTGTTGTTGAAATTATCAAATGCTTAAAAGTAACGATAGCATGCAAACTTGGCAGATTTCCAATATTTTAAGATCTTAATAAAGAAAATAATTTCGAGCAGCATGCCACCCGCTCTGTATTTGGAAAGAAATGAGAGATCTAGCAACTCTAAAGAAAACGAAATGCCAACAAACAGAAAAACAAGCACCATACAACTGACTATTGAAATACACATTACTTTGCATGTGGTTCGCTTGAATAACGCATCATTGCAGGAATGAGCTTTCTTGGGTTCAGGTCTTTTGTGATCATCCATGCTTCAACAGTTTCATATGCATCAAGCATGATAAGGTCAGGGGCAAACTTGTACTGCATAATAAGAGAAATATCAATAACACAAAATGCAGGATAAACTATGATGAATATATGAAGAGTAATGAAGAGGTTACAGTACTTCTTAATGCACAATGACAGCAAAAAAGTATAAAAATATTCACACTCTATAATTTCATACCTGAAGCTCTGTAGGAACATTAGGTTTCTGAAGAACTCGCAGCGCTTTCTTTGCCTCCCCAAGCTAACATATCACACCACCAAAAGAAATTAAAAGATGATGCAATAACTGAATGAATGAATAAGGTTTACTTGAAAGTTACACTGGCATAAAAACTGCTAAAAATTTGTATTCTATTGACATCACAAATATCAATATAACTAAGGGTTGATACTCACTTCAAACGAGCATGATAATGATTTTTCTAAACTAAATCCCAATTTTGAAAGAAATCTGGAACAAGAATTGTGAATTGACGATCAAAAAATGCCATATAATGTAGTGATGAACTGGAATAAGTTAGGATTGCCTCTTAGAAGGTTTCAGTTTCCTTGCCCACTAGGAGTCAGTGCTTTGGCAATTGACTAGCCATAAAGCTCCACAATCATACAGTTTTCACTTTGGCAGAATTGTTACATACATACAATGTCAAAGTTTCAATTGAGCGCATATACAAGAACAACATTTTATTTCCTAATAGAAATACATTATGCTGAAATCACTAGGTCAAGACAGTTGCCAAATCCAGCATATATGATATTGTTTAATTGGTGATACAGTAACTTTTCCCTTAAAATCGCTACAAAGGAACTTTGGAAAGGAGAAAACAGAATACTGGATTCATAATGTATATTTTTAGAATAGGAGCGTGCAGTGAAGAGGTCAAATATACAAGTAGGCATAATTTTTAAGAAATGAACATAAAATTCGATGTAAGTAGATCAAATTACAGGTCTAAATTACGCATTAGATCGGAAAGTAGCTCACTATTATTGGTAATACTGCACAAATTGTGGAAAGATGAAATGAATAATAAGGAAATAGTATATATATATATATATAACAATTCAAATCAGCCATAAATGTAAAATACAATGCATTAGACAATGTTTCAAAGAGAAGGCACCTGAATATAATGATGCACCACAATTTCATGTTGTTCCTTAAGACTAGCAAAGAAAACCAATTCATCAACTCTGCCATAGCTGCAGGAATTCAAAATAATTATGTCACTAGAGGTTAATGATCAGTGTACCTAAATCACATGGCTGAACCACCTTGCCATACAAGTCCAAATATAATTTCTCAAAAGATAGGTCTACACCTTTTCATAAAACAAATATTTGGGAGAAATATTGCCTCTAGAATTCAGGTCAACAACTATAAAAATATGAACTGTATAATGAATTGGAAGCTTTAGATTAAGGAATCCCAGTATTACTTAATCATTATAAAATTCATTTTCGCATCACCGAACGGAAGTATGCCCAGAGAACTACATATAGTAGCAATTTAAATAGGAATCACCTTTCCAGCAGTTTCATGGTGGTAGCCTCATCCAATACATCTTTGCAGTCACTCAAAAAGGCACGGAACTCTGTGATGATTGATTGATATTCTGAATTTGAAGAATCAGTCACAGCGTCATCTTCCAAAAGTAGTCGATTAATCTAATATTACAAAAAATGATGAACAAATTAGTTCAATTTCACAAACACCAATACTATAAAGGTTTGTAAGTTTATGATAAACATAGCTCTAATCAATGCAATCCCAAAGCATTCCAATGAGACTATGACTGACATGAAAACATCAGCAGTATCACATGGAAACACATAACCTGAGCCAAAGTGAGTTAAGCAAGGCAAGGCTACTACAAGGTTGTTGTTTCATGATATTATGCTGATATATACTCTTCTAATATGGTTGAGAAGTGTGATACTCAATAATGGCTGAGTGAAATCTAAGCAACCAAGAGTTGACTGATCAGTATGAAAATCCCACATTCATTATCATATAAGACTTCTGCAAAACTTATGGCGGACGTTTCTAAGGAGTCCTGACAAGCATTTGCATTATTGAAAAACATTTGGTAATTTCTCAAATGCTAGATGGGTCAAGCAAATCATTTTTCAAAGTGAAAGACTAAAAATGTAATACTACTTTAAATCAAGCCGGAAAGTTGAGCAATGGCTAGACTATAGAAGTTTAAAAGCATAAAAAATAAAGAAGGAACTTATTTATCCTTAAAACAGCAAGTTCCAGGCGAACCTTATCTAAATATAACTCAGTTGCCCATGTGGAAATCATTGTTATTTGACACTTGTCATCCTTTGCAAAATTGTCAAGCTTCCGCAACAAAAATGTCCTCAAGGCATCCTGCAAACAGTGGTACAAACGGCTGATACAGCAAGAAGGAAACCGTTCCGACAATTCTCATAAAGATGTGAATGAAAACAGCTTTCACCTGTTCGCCTATGCTTATAAACTTCAAAGTGATCTCTTCAAATGACAAGGCAAAGTTAATCTGCAGTATTCAATTTGCCATGTGATGATATGTCCATGTATAAATATGGAATAAACTAATGCATTACAATTCCTAAACTAAGTAGGATCAAATCATTAATCCCGGAACTTTAAATACCAAGTGTGAGGAAGCAGAAAGAAAGAGCAGTTAATAAACTTCTGCAGTTAACTGTCCTACGAGAAAGGTTAGAACAACTTGTTACCATGAGTTGCTAGTTGCCATCTTACAATCACAAAGAAGTAAAGAACAAAAAGACACACTAATAATTATCTAATAAAATTACGAATATAATGACACCATCTGAATACTGTTACCTTCGCTCATGACTAGACCAGCTATTGGTAGTAAATTATTCTACATACATAAAAGCATATTCATGTTTGCCGAGATTAAGAGGATAGGGTTATAGGAAGAGTGGTGGTGATTTGCTACACCATTGGTTTTCATACATTCATTAGTACGTGACCCGCGCGTTGCGCGGCCTGGTGTTAAAAATAACTTGAGTGAGTTATTATTTAAATCAATAAAAAAATATTCATAAAACATGTATAGTGATAATAAAATGTAGAATGAAATTTTTATTTATTACATTTTAAAATGTTTCTATAAATATTATAGCGGATAAATTGTGTTCATAATACTATTATGATGATAAATAATAATCATCACAAAATAGAGATTCGTGACTAAAAAAACAACATTTTAGCGACTGACTACAAAATACCATATCTTTGTCATAGAAAATTAAAAGTTAAATACATTAAACTTAAGGAAAAAAAAAACATTGTGATATTCAACGGAGAAAAGTATTTGTCATATTAGTGGTGACACTCCTTAAATCTTTTTTCTCAAAATTGTCTATATAATAGAATAATTTTCATCATTTATGAAAATATAAAGACATTATTACTATTATACACAGAAATTGGTATACGAATAATAAAAAATAACATGTGCAGATATGAGTCAATTAAAATAAAAAATAAATTAAGTACTTAAAAGAATACAAAAATCACTCAAATTTGGTCTGCATGCATTTAGTTTAAATACAAAAATGACTCAATTTTGTTCCACATGCATTTGTTTTAAAATGTCCACATATTTTTCACTTTATTTTATTGACAAAGTAGCTTCAAAAATTCATTCTTTGCAAAATAAGTGCAATGGATCATAATGATGTGCAACATGGATATTTTTTGTAAAGTTACAAACAGGTCCAATAAATGTTAATGTTCATGTCAATGACAAATTACTTATTTTGAATGAAATTAATGGAAAATATAATGAATGCATTTTTTAGGGATATACATTTAAAGAATTTTTATAGGATAATAAGAAAAAGACATTTGAATTATATTATATAAATTTTAAAAGAATAAAATTATTTTGATAATATTAACATTTGTAATATATGATATGAAAAAATAGTTTATGCATTACAATATTGAACTTTATCTACTGCAACAATTCAGTAGCGATAATACATGTTTGTCATTTTCTTAATAAATGTGTTATAATAACAAAAAATTTAACAATAATTAACACGTTATACTATTTTTATTCATAAAAACTTTTAATTGCATAATTGTGGATCAATAAAGAAATTGAAATAAGTGCAGCCTGACCAATTTTAGATGACGTCAAATTTATTCCTAAATGAAACAAATGATACCAACCAAAATAAAAGAAAATAAATTAAACAAACTGTATATTTTTTACTCAAAACTATTCAATCAATTAGGACTGAAACTAATATGAAAGATCTTGTATATAATAAAAATTTCACAGAATAATTCGATAAATATATATTTCTTATTTACACATCCAAAACCATGTTATTACTCTTTATCTATTATGGTCGAAATCGTTGTATCTTTTTGTTATTATTTTCTTTTTTTCCTTTCGCAATATCATTTCACAATATGAATTACCCATAAATAAAATCAAATTCTGATATCATATTCTAGCACTAAATCATCGAATTTTTGTTTTGTATAAAACCTATAATAATAAATGTCCATCTGAAAGTATAAAATAAAAGTTTATGCCTATACATATTATATTACCTTTTATTATACACTTTTAAGTTAATAGTTTAAGTTATATTAAGCTAACAATCACGATGGACATCGTCAAGGCGTCGATGTTTAAGTCAACAATTAACCCTTATTTGAAATATATGATAATTATAATTTAACTTATTTTTTTTTATAAATGCACATTGATAGAAATTTTTTAAAACAATAAAAAATAAATATTTAATTATAATATATATATATATATCTAAAATAATAAAAATATAAAATTAACACTTGCATATGTGATACCGACAAATTAATTGTTGCGTTTATAGTATGTTGTGTGGGTCTTTATTTGTAATAATGTTTTGATAAACACAATATATTCTCATTATTGAGAAAATAATATTGATAATGTTATGATAAAGGCAATATAATCTCATCATTATTAATAAATTAACAATAAATTAACTTGTTATGCCTTTTTTTTCAGAAATTATAGTTATATAATTATGGCCAATAAGAAAATCAAAATAATGGTAAAACAATTATGTGCATATGTTTATATGGTTTCTTCAATATTTTGTAAAAAATATAATAAATTATACCAACTAAGAATAAACGAAATTAAACAAACTATATATTTGTCAGTCAAACAACACATTCAATCATACCAAAATCAATATTACAAAACATAATATATAATTAAAAGTTCATTTAAAAATTAATACATGTATATATATACATTTTTTTTTACACTTCACAATTTAAGCCATGGGTTGTACTAGCACTCTTCGTTGGTAAAAAAAATCTAAACTGGGATAATTTTTTTGTCCATGTAAAGATTCACCACTTTTAGAGATATATATATATATGCAGGTTCATCCCCAAAACCCGTAGATGTTTTTTTTCTTTAAAAAAGGTACACTCGTTTTAGTTGAATATAACTATTTTTTTTATTTCTCTCTACTCGTACTTTTTTTAAAATCTATTTGAAAAAAAACAAAAATATGAAATTTGGCTATCTAATATTGCAATTTTGTTGAAAAAGGATGACATCATGACTTGTTCAACCCTTAGTTTAACTCACATGAAATTTGTGAGCAATTAGGTTTTGTACAATTTCGATTAAAGTGTGTGTATCTATATATAAACATATTAGTTTATATAAACAACGAAAACCTTAATCTTTTTTTCAATAAATTTCTAATAACAATATATTTTGTAATATAATTTCAATGTTGAAATTATTAAATTATCATGTTTGTATTTTATAATTAGTATTCTCCTTAGATATAACAAAACAATATAAAGGCTGGAATTATTAATCAAATTAATGAATTTTGGATCAAATTGAGATGTTTGAGAAATATCACCAATAATAAGTATAGTTATTTCCATCAAGTAGTAAACAATTGATACTTTTTCATATTACAATGTATGATCGCCTTAAGTATAGATTATCTTTATAAATACAAATATTTATTATTGGATACAACACCACATTAAATGTTTGTATTAGATCGAACAGCAGACTCCAATAAAGAATAAACCCAATTGATTTTTTTTTATTTTCTTTTCAAACAATATAATTCCTTTTTTCGTATAATGTTTAAGCTCCAATTTTTTTTTTTCATGCTACTTATTATTATTATTATTATTATTATTATTATTATTATTATTATTATTATTATTATTATTATTATTATTATTTGCATTTTTATGGATGAAAAGATCCATGTATAGATTATCTATATATTTGTGATTTATACTATTTCTTCATTAATTATACAAATGCTGTAAATTTGGCTTCTCAAATAATAGAAGCATCGTATATAAAATGTTTTGAAATAATTGTCGAAATGAAAAATATATTACATTTATATTTTGAGAATTAATGAGTTATAGTCATATTTAGGGAATTAATGGCACTGCATCATATGTAGTTTGAATTCGTAAAGATTGACTTCACTTAGCATTTTTTCAAGGAAATGTGTTCAATTTTAATCATTAATTTCAGAGATCATTTTTAAATGTGAGTGGCTTGTTTCAGTATCAATATCACTATTAATGACATATATTAATGATAGTTTAGGCGGGAAAAAATTTTCTTTCAGCTGCTTTGCTATATAGATATCAGTTATAAGCATATTAGCATGACTGAATGTTGGACATGTGTGTTCCATCCACACACATGCAAAGAGAACACAACCAAATTAACAAGTAAGATATAGAGAAATATTTAACAAAGTGCCTTTTATTTAAGAACCAGCTCTTATTGTGTAAGTGTTCTGTGACTTTCTTAATGTCCTAGCAAAGCTAGTTGAGTCACCTTAGGCAAATTAGCTGAAAAAGCTACGGTGACCCCATGATGGTAATTTTGGCTAAACAACAAATTACAACTGAAACATATGCAGTCGCAACCTAAATAACTTATGTGAACATCGTTTCTTAGTAAACTCATGTACCATATATGGTGATCACACATGTACAAGGTAAAAAACAGAAATTTTTTACGACGTCACCATTGCATGATTTTAAAAAAACCGTGAAATTACCTTTGCGTAAAAGGAAGCCGCTCTGAGAAAATCTTTTGCAGTAAAAGCAGCTTCAGCCTACATCAGAAAAATCAGTCATTGAGCTGCTAAAATTTGCGAGATGAAACTGTCTTTTATTACAATTAATTTACAGAAAAGAGATACCATGACATCCATAATATCAAGTACTGCACAACAAATATCAGACCTGAACGAGATAGACTTGATCCCTTTGTAGGGCATCACGACAATTTGCCAAAGCCGCAGCATATTCCTTCAATTCTAAATACACTTTCCACATATCCCGACCTTCATCATTCACCGACACCTTTATTAAGATTTTCAGATAACAATAATAAGATTGACAGAGGTCATGTATAATAATTGTATTCAAAGATAATATCACCAAATGAGCACCTGAAAGATGGAATTCTGGTCATATGCATAGAAAAGTCCAGCAGATGCGTCACTGCATAAACCTAGAATCCCACTTGAAACTGCATCAGGTACTTGATCAAAATGAAGCTCTTCAACAATCTGCTCACTGATCCTATTAACAACCTTCCAAATATGAAAAGAATCTTCTTAGACAGCGAGAGAGGTATTAGAACAAAAGAAAAGGAAATGCAAACAAAGCATGTGAGGTTTATGCGGATAGGTGAAAAGGAAAACAAATTAATCACTTAAAACAAATATCTGAATAGAGAGAACCGTTATCAGTTATGGCCAAACCACAATACAGGCAAGGTGAATAAATAGAACGGAGTTGCAAGAAAAAATGTTTATTGTAGGAAAAAATATTTTTCATCAAGAACATGCATTTTACCCATTAATCATGAGATCCTAGTGATAGCCGCACACTTGGCAAGGACGCTCACATGTTTCTACATATGGATTATTCTAATTCATCACATAGAGTTCAGAAAAAACATCATTAGCAATATATTACTGAGGTCGCACCTTAACCTTGTTCCCCACCAGAAGAAGGAAATGGAATTCAGACACTGCCAGGGACCTAGGTTTGACCAGCACACTTTCACCTAGCTTAGAATAATCCAGGAGAGCTTTGTTCTCCACAAAGTTCTCGTCCCCATTTGGTAAACTGAAGATGAACTTCCAAGATGTCAACAATATAGGTAACCAATTTACCATATATAATCACTTGAATGGAGTTGAACTGATAAATTCTAGTTGATTACCTGTGTTGTGCTCCAAAATTAAGGCCACCATGATAGATTCCTGCTCCAGATAGCCATGCAAAATGTATTGCTCTTCTCTGCTTGATGAAAAAATGCAGCTCACTACAAAAGGGAAAACAGGAAAATTGAGCTCACCATCTCCTCATAAAAGTGTGTATGAACAACTATGGCCCTCCTCGATTTAGTTCTATATTTTGTTCAAGATTCTTCCACATAGATTAAGAACGCCATCTATTGTTAGATATAAACAGACCATTTTACCCTTTAATTGAATTTAAATAAACACACATTCAATAACTATTAAATCAAGATGGGGCGGAAGGGGGGTGGAGCAAATAATACTCTTGGGCTTTCTAAAGTGACAAACAGAATGAAACAAATTTGATTTTGTAAAAGTGACAGATAAAAACAAAACTATGGGAGTACTGATCAGGAGCCTGATTGCAACTCCCATTAATTTTTAGTTAAGTAACACCATATTGCATATTGTGTAACATAAAAAATAAAGCTAATAAAAACATTAGCATTTTAAGAATGAAATTACAAGTTCTTCTACACTTGAATTTTTTAAGAAATACAAATAGCTTAATTATTCCTTCTATTCAAAATATAGGAAGTTTGGCCTGCAATACTGAGTATATGTTCATCCATATTACTACTCTACTTGGCCAATATATGGTTTCCTGAAGATATTGCAGAAATCAGTATGAAGGATAAACTATTTGCAATTAACAGAAATTTAATAACATTTCCAAGTGATTGACTTGCCTGTTTGGAATTTCACCAGGAAGTTCCATGAAGTGAACTGCACGTTCTGCATAGCTGGCAAAAACAGACTGCAACAAAAACGTAAACAGAAAAGACCTTCAGACCAACAGTGAAGGAATGGATAAAAGGGGAAGAAAATTCTTCAGTTGTTCAGAGAGGCATCAAATCATGTGATACTGATACATGAGTTTTTACATAAATGCCACGTGATTCGAAGAAAAAACAAACGTATTGACTGCCACATGCCATAGCTTAACTACACTTCCAACTGCAGAAGGTCTATGGCTCATAAACAGATTAAGAGAAAAATAAATTTGAACTTACTTCCAACGAGCCTATTCCAGTGAATGAATAAAGTCGGGTAGGAGTAACCGCCATCACATAATATCTAGTTCCATTATTCGTGCCAGTAATTTCCATCTGTACATGTGTGTAAATATACTAAGTCCAGGATGACTTGATTGAGACCAACAGATCGACCATCAAACTATACAAGTAAATACTTCAAAAAGAAAAGACATTCCAAAAACAAGGGGAACATATTTTTCTTTTTTTAAAAGGTTAGTTCCTAAAAACATAAGTCTAAGTTGCATAAAAAGAAAGAGACAGTAGAACAATGAAAGGAACACAAACTCAAAACAAGACAATTTCAAAGGATCTTTCAATACACATCATCTACTGTCTCATGCAAATAAAATATCGATGTATACACACTACTGTAATATTTTGCACTCAATACCGCATCTACCATCAATCATCAGTTTGAGTTCAAATTATCCATGTATAAACTCTAGCATTAATTTCAGGAAGGCACAATATTTTATCTATGAACCTAATCTTTAGCACGCCAGCAGAGTTCCCCAAAAGTACAAGCTCTCAGCAACCTCTATATTTCACAAAGATATGTAGGAATAAGATTATTACCTAATATGTCCAGCAACACAAGTGTTTCTTACTTAAGCACAACATAGTAATATCAAAATTTTCTGTAGCAGAATGAAACAGACAAATGAATCACGAGCTTGTTGTTCACATGATACCTCTCGGTTTTCCACTGGTTGATACAGGGGTTCAAGCTCTATACCTCGTAGGCTCGTAGTTCATAGAAATTTAGACTCCCATCCCCGCCAATCCCCCTCTAACTATTTAGAAAGAATAAAGAAATTGACATAGAGGAATAATAGGGAAAAAAAAGACATCAAACCTGTAACCCTGTGAAAGCTTCAGGAAGTTCATTGAGTTCAAACAAGAATTTGATGTACTTTTCTTTCTTATCCTTCTCATCTACAGCAACTTCATGAAGTTGGCCGTTGTCTGTTCCAAGAATAATTTCTCTCGTGGATGCTATATGAATACATAAAATATGAAAAATTCAGTTCAATTTTCCAGAGAGAAACAAATTCCAGATTAAAACCGACTTCTGAGCACCTCCACTTTACCTTCTGTAATATGCTGCTTATTCCAAGCAACAGCGTTCACATTGAGACCTTTTAATTTGCTCAAAATGCGAGGCTTAGCCCACTTTGCATGAGTATAAAAAGTATCTGAAGTTCCACCACCAACTACAGTTGCAATGCAGTGACTGCCACCAGGATCAACAAAAACCCTGTGGATCGACTGCTCCCCGAGTCTCCCAACAGACAGATCAATATCTACGAAGACAATTTATTACATATATAATAAAAGCATCTTACCAGATTGAACTCGTTTACAANATATGAAATAGATTCGCAGTCAATTTCTAGTGCCCTTTTAGACTAAAGCAACTTAAAAACTTTCACATTCATTGTTCACTCAATTCAGTCGACAATTTCAAACAATCATACAGGAAACACATAATAAATCACACAATCATCTATATATAGATCACGGCTACTCTAGTTTCAGGGTGAGCAATTAATGGTGATATAAAGTGCAAACAACAACCCGAAAACTCAATGATGGCGAGCACGTCGTTTATGTAAAATAATTTTGTATAAAACCTCACTTTTCATATCATTTTACATGAAAAGTTACTGTGAATATCTTAAATCCAAATGCATAAATCGAGTTACGAGCTAATTGCCTCGAACATATTCATATTCACATTTTAAATAGAAGATACTAGTAAGAAAATTGCTTCCCTGTACACATTAAAATTTGATAAATAAATAGACGACTTCTTGAACGTTCTATCAATCACATAGCAAACGCTATCCTTCCTAATCAACTCATCGAGTCTATTGACAGACTAATGATTATAGTATGACCACATTTCAGGTGAGAGCAAGTAATGCCTCTTGATCAACTGGCACCGGACTAATGATTATAGTATGACCACAATCTGGTAATTCACACATAAACAACAAATTCATCGCAAAGCAAAAATCCTACCAAATACTATGACCACAGTTTAGTAGTTCACACATAAACAACAAATTCATGGCAAACCGAAAATCCTACCAAAGGAATCGCCGACGCCAAAATCGTGGCGGATGACCCAGCCTTTGCTCGTACCCAGCACAATGACGTCATTCCCGGCGGCCATACATGTAATCACTCCACGTCCCTTGGCGGCGTGCCTCTCCAGCAGGTCGACCGAGAATACATGCCGCCTGGGCTCCATTTCTTCTTCAGCTCAAATTCGGAAACTCTTCAACACAATCAGAATCCTACTGAGCCATCGGGCTCCTTAAATTGAGTTATTGGGGTGAATAAACAGGATCGCGATTCTATCAGCTACCCTGGTTCATCGACGGAAGCTGGTTCGCCGGAGTAAGAGAGGTGGACGGAAGCGGATTTCTCCGTGAGATGAGGAAGGGGACAAAGAAACCAAGAAATTAAAGCGTTGCTATGTCGCCGGAGGTATAGGTCGTTGGATGCCGGCTTCTCCGGAGGTAGAGCTTTTCTCAACTGCTTTAATTTTTTTTTTCTTTTTTTTTGTGCCATAATTTATAGATGTGTATTTAACCCCGTTTATGAGCTGAGCCGTGCTCGAGCCCTTAACAAGTCGAGCCGAGCTGAGTTTGGCTCGTTAAATAAACGAGCCTGAAATCAAACTCGAGCTCGCTCGTTTGTCACTAATAACGAGTCAAACTATATAAAATTATATAAAATTATCTTTTTCAGCCTTATCGAGTCAATTCGATCTTGACTCGTTAACCAAGCTCAAGCTTTAAATGAGTTTAAGCTCGACTCGTTCATCAAACTAGTCGAGTCGAGTTTGAGTCGAAGCGAGTCAGACTCGTCTAATTTAACGGCACTCTGTGTTTCCAGTTATAAAGAGTCGTTAAACTCATAATTTTTAAGACTTTAGTATTTGTTTGCTTCGCATGATTATTGATTAGACAAGATTAAGGGCCTCTGATCGCAGGCTTGTGTTAGTTTGTCACAACTGCGGCCCGCGCGACTAAGCTTGATCCGTGACATTGCAGTGAATTATCTTGAGATGACCAAGAATCTTCAAGCAAGTCCCATGATTGAATGCATCTGCATGTATATATATATATAGAGAGAAAAAAAAAGAGAGAGAGAAGGGATCATATGAGAAAGAATGATTGTGAAGGAAATAAGGATAAATTTGTATCCTTGAATACATCATATTAATGGTTAAAATTAAGTCAATCATTAATGACAACATGGTAATTTAACTTACACATTATGGTCAAATGTACATATTTGACCACTTAAAAGGGTAAAACGGACAATACACAAATTATTATAACTCATCCACTCAATGGGCCCCACCACCTCCACCATAAATAACCCTCACTTTCCTCTCTCTTTCTCTCTCTCTCACACACACACAAGATCTGAAAATTTCTCGGGTTGCCTACCACCGGAAAAGAAGCCCGCCGCCACCTACTGCCACACGCCGCCGTTCGATGCCACCCAGTTTTTATTTTTTATTTAAATGTCAAATATCAAATAATAAAATGATATAATAGGAATTGACTGATAAATATTGCACTATTTAACTTAAGACTTTGTATATTCAAACTTTAATTTGAAATCATTATCAAAATTTTTAGCTTTTAGTTGCCATTTGAAAATATGACTCTAATCCTTAAAAAATACGAGTTTTTAAATATTTTATTGCTTAAACGTTGTAGAAATATAACGCAACAATAGCGTGAAATAACACAAAATTGTGTAAAAAAAGCGTGTCAATTCACCATTTGCGAAAGTTTTTTGGGAAAAACACTAAATATGTAACGCTAGGTTGCGTTTTTTTTTTTTTTTCTGACTGATAAGCTAGCTTATAGCTTATTTTAGTAATTCTCGAGCTTATAGCTTATAGTTTATGACTTATAACTGAAAAATTAATTTATATGATAAAAGTGTTTGGTAAAATTAGCTGATAAGCTAGCTGAAATAAAAATTTCAATGAGCTTATTTGAAAAGCTACCAAAAGAAGCTTATCAAATAAGCTCGAGCTTTTTAAATAAGCCCGTCCTACCAAACGGAGCTTATTTAGACTATGTTTGGTAAAACTAGCTGATAAGCTAGCTTATAGTTTATCATTTTTTAGCTTATAGCTTATAGCTTATGACTTATAGCTGAAAAGCTAACTTATATGATAAAAGTGTTTGGTAAAATTAGTTGATAAGCTAGCTGGAATAAAAAATTCAACTAGCTTATTTGAAAAGCTACCTAAAGAAGCTTTTCAAATAAGCTTCAGCTTTTTAAAAAAGTTCGTCCTACCAAACGAGTCTTATTTGAATATAGAGAGCTTATAAGCTAACCAAATAAGCTATAAGTTAACTTATTTGTCTACCAGACACAACCTTATATACAGAAAGCTTATAAGCTAATCAAATAAGCTATAAACTGATTTATTGGTCTACCAAACAATGCTAGAAATGGTCATTTTATTCCCCTTCGCTTTTAGCTCCATTGCATTAACCACCGGCAGCCACGCGGAGTGAATGACCGATTATCCGTCCAGGTACACGACGATATTTTCTCCGCACCGATGGAGATCGTTTTCTGTAGCGAAATCGATCGTTTTCTTTCCCCCTTTCTTCTCACCTTTTTATTATTAATAAATGGAATAGATAACTGCGTTAGCTGGTTAACGTCGGATCACTGATCACCCACGAGAGTTGTTTTAGCAATGGGTTTTAGTGGACCTAAGGCCAAGTACGGGCGGCGATAGGTCCGTATACTACTGTCTATAACCGACCCGTTTCATTTGGGAGCGGTTTTCGGGTGACTGTTACATATGTACGTTTAGTATGGGGCATGAAATGTGTGTTTGCATTCAGTTTCGTTGGTTTTACTCATTTTGTTTGTAGCATTTTTTTCGAACATTGCATTTGCGTTGTCTTAATAATATAAAAAATGGCTAAAGTGTGTTAAGGTTGTTGGTCTAGCTTGGTGTGCAAGCTAGGAACAGGTCTCTGGCTGGGTGGTCCAGCTGGGGACCTTGATAAATGGTAAGGAGTCGGGTATAAGGGTCTGGATTGACCCAATACCGTCTGGATGCAAGAGATGAGGTGGTAGTAGAGAACAGTAACACTGTGGTAAGCTTTTGAATGGCTTTATGGGTCAAGGACTGAACCTGGGTGGCACTATTTGGACTGAGGCTTGATGTTAGAGATCACATTCTGAGAGTCAGTGAAATTCTTATGCGAATCGAAAAGGTTAGAATGTAATAAGTAGTCCATTGCTGACCATGGTGTCTGGGTTCTGTTTTATAAGCTTTTTATTTTGACGTTGAGGTGTTCTAGATGGAATGCTCAAGTAGAATACCTGTGCACTTGTTATTGCCAATGTATTGATGGGACCTTATTTTGTTGTTAGTTTTTGTAGAATTATTTTCTACATCTCATACGCATATGCTTTCATTTGAACATGAATTAATAATAACTTTCATTTCCATTAGAACATTGGGATATCATGATAAAAGTTAATGTCCTTTCCTCTTATTGTATCTTTCCTTATCCTAGCAATGAATTGAAACTTAACTGTTTCATTATCCAGATCGTAGTGTGGTGGACATCATCTTTGCATAATGTTCTTTCTTTCTTTAATTGGGTTGCCTTTTCTTTGATCTTGGCTCTAATACGAACTTTCTATTTGGTCAAACATTGTCTACAGCCTGATATGTCAAATCCTTTTTCAACGTTAAACTTATATTTTTATTGGTATGTATGGTAACTAATCGGGCTATGTTTTAGTTTTTAGTCCCTATGATGAGTTCGGCTAACTTCAGTAGCAACCATAATATTGGGGATCTTGGTGTGAAAGCTTTAATGATGGAGCAGAATCTAGTTCGAAGCACCTTGCATCATGGCAAGTACACCACATTTGGGTTAGCTACTCAGGAAGAGCCCAATGCTCTTAATACAAGGCATGAAACTGAGAAAAGTATAAGGCCAGCCATCTTAAGGACTCCAAATAGTGGTGCTGATGCAAGTATATCGGATCAAGATAAGTCCCCACTTGGTGATTCTCGCCTTTGCTCGATATCATCAATATGCCCAGCCCCAATTTGCCGTCAGTTCTGGAAAGCTGGAAATTATGATGACAACCATAATTCAAAGGCCACATGTCAAAGTACTGTATTCACTCTAATAGTTAAAGTTGATTCTAACTAGCTTTATATACTACGATGATGTAACTGTCCCATTGTGTACTTGGCAGATGGCACAGGTCGTCTTCGTGTTCACCCCAAATTTCTTCATTCTAATGCTACTTCTCATAAATGGGTCTTTGGTGGTATGTGCTTTTGATATATTTCAATTGTTTAATTTAAACGCATTACACATCATCTTGGATACTGTTGCTTGGCCTTGATGTTTTCTTATTCCTCTATTGTGAGTCCTGTGGTTGCAGCTATGGCAGAAATGATTGATAACTCTGTTGATGAGGTAATCTTCTATGGGTTTCAGTGTTCTTGTTCTATTTTGTTTATATCTCGTTTAATCAATTGTGTGGGGTGTATTATTAAGCAGAAGTCATCCATAACTTGCCCCTTTGCAACTTTAGTTAGCTCAATCTGTTCGTGTTGCTAACTCAGTGATGTTCTCATATGCATTTTTATTGCTTATCCATTTGAGTTCTTATATGTAACTTCATTCATTGCCTCATGTATCTGTAAGTTCAGTTTGGGCCACTGTTTGAGGTTAATCTGCATGCATGATCACTGAGGGATTTCTCAAATCCTGTTTTAGTGAGTTCCTATGTGGATTTACAATAGATATTGAAGTTCATTAGGAAGTGTTTCATTTATTGGTAGATTCAAAATGGGGCGACGTCCGTAATTGTTGATAAAATATCAAATCCGAAAGATGGAACTCCAGCTTTGTTAATTCAAGGTACTTTAATTTCAGTAAACTCACAAGATAATTACATCTCTGTCTGCCCAATGATGATTTCCGTCAATCTTTTGTACGTGAAAAGGTGAAACATACATAATTTTACTTGAATTGTTATTTTCTTATTAGACGATGGTGGTGGAATGGACCCTGAAGCAATGAGGCGTTGCCTTAGTTTTGGGTTTTCCGATAAACAGTCCCAATATGCTATTGGAAAGTGTGAGTATGAAAGTAATATGTGTTTTTTTCAAGCAAACACGGTAAGAATTTGACTTACAGCAAAATTTCAGATGGAAATGGGTTCAAGACTAGTTCTATGCGACTTGGGGCTGATGTTGTTGTTTTCAGTCGCTGCAAAAGGGACAGGTTCTGGTTCTTCTTTCTTGAGAAGTTTAATTTACTCTCTTTCACCCTGCACAATAAATTCTTCATACCTCATATTTTATTTTTTAACTCTCTCTCTCTCTCTCTCTCTTCCCTCCCTCCAGGAGATTGACCCAGAGTGTTGGCCTGCTATCGTATACATTTTTAATGCGCACAAGGCAAGATAAAATAGTGGTTCCTATGGTGAGTTGTGAGCACACGTGTTTTTGTTTATTTTTCTTGTTTGTAACTTGATCTAGGTGATTGCAGTCTTACAATTTAGTTACAATGATTGATTGCATGATAATCAATTAACAATCAATGTATAGGGCATAGATTTGTCCTTTACAACTTCATTTTGCAGCAATTTTTGTTTAATGCTTAGACATTACACAGGATTATCTGCAACAGTAAGCAGAGATATCACATTCACCTGCTTCTTGGTTTAATTTTCTGTTGACAGGAAAGGGGAACTTGTTCCTCTATAAACTGGATTACTTGTAAATAGACCCTATCTGATTTTCCCCCTAAATGAATAAAACAGAAATAACCAGTATCAGTTATCATTGTCTTTTGGAATTTCACACTAGCATAATTTATTGGAATCTCATTGTCTCATTGTTACTCAGGTTGTTAATATGACTGTTGATCTGTTTTATTACCTCCAAAGATATATTGATGCAGTCTTTGACTTATTAGAAATGTAAATTGTTTCTGCGAGTGATCTTTCATTTGCTTTCTGATACTTGACGTTTATGCTTACGTAGGTCACAGTGAGGTTTATGTACTATATCTGTTTGGCCTTAAAATAGCATTGTTGTTTTGAGGATCCTGCTTGAAGATGAGTACTATTAGTCTATGATTCTATATTTTATCAATTCTGTTTCCATGAATAATTGTTGTCCTTTTCTGTTAATATTCATCTCTAGAGAAAAAGATAGCAATTATTCATTGTAATATTCTGGAAACGTTTGTTTATTCGTTGGATTCTAATGTGCGCCTGACATGCTTTAATGATTTAGTTTCCGATTGAGTTTATGCAGGTTGACTATCTGTTTGACACAGATAGTGGCACATGGAAGGCATTACACGACGACCAACGTCTTAAGCAAAATCTTTCTATCTTGTTGCAGTGGTCTCCAGTTGCCACAGAAGCTGAACTTCTAAAACTAGTAATACTTTTGTGGGACTAGTTTTTCTCTTTGTTTTACTTTTCCGCTTAGACCTTTAATGGGATTAGCCATTCTTATTGCTCTATGACACAATAGTATATTTTCAGGAGATTCACACCTTTCCTTAAGTGCATATGTATCATCCTCTAATCTTCATTGACATCTATGTTACATCTCTATGTTGCAGTGCGATGGCATTGGCCCTAATGGAACCAAGATNTTTAAAAATTAATAATAATAATAATAATAATAATAATAATAATAAGAAAATATTGAATATGAATTCAGCCTCATTCAATTCTTTTGGTATCAGGATATTAGTATTTCTGGTAATTTTAAGAATACTCGAAAAAGTGAACAGCATCTTGCCAACCGTCTTCACTGTTCTCTGAGGGTAAGTTGGTGAATATCTTGCATGCTACATTTTTATGTCGCATTTACTTATAATTGTTCTTCTGTGTGTGAATAGGCATATTTATCTATTCTATACTTGCGAATTCCGGAGAACTTCCGCATATTATTGCGTGGCCTAGATGTCGAGTATCATAATATTGCAGGTGATCTCAAATTTCCGGAGTTCATATTGTACAGACCTCACAACGTGGAGGTATGGATTTTTTTTAAGAAAAAAACTTCCATGTTTCTTGTTACATTGGATGGATAATAATATTTTGGGATACATATAAACCTATCCTTGAGGTGTGATGTAGTTATGAAAACTTTCATTTCTTATTCAAGTTATAGATAGCCCCCTAAGTTCACATTTTAACGAGTATCCCTCTATAAAATATGTAAAATGGAGACAAATGAAAATGGGATTTTTGTAAGTTCGAAACATAGCTGGAGCTGCTTGTAATTGGTCTAAACTCATCACTTTTTTCCCAAATTGACCCAATATTTTAAGAATACTACTAACTTGTAACTTGTAAGTGGATAAGCAATACATAAATCCACATGCACACTCACATAGAATTATGTTTACTTGAGACAGCGTGTGCGTCAAACTGATTTCTAAATGAATGTGTATTTTTTTCCTCTATTAATTTCTATATATCCTTCTTCATCACTCTCATACTGGTCTGGACTAGGTGGAGAGACTTTTCCTTGACCATTTAGTGCCTTCTGTCGGCTACATAAAAGTCCCAAACATAAATCCATACATTTGCGTGTAACTTGAGTTCAATACCTGGCTTTCTCTGGTGTATGAAAACCTGCAGTGTGAACCAATTTTGGGCATTTGCCATCCTCATTTTCCTGATTGCAGGGTTCAGTCATCACGACAATTGGGTTCTTGAAGGAAGCTCCAGCAGTGAATATACACGGTTTCAATGTCTACCACAAGAACAGATTGATATTGGTGACTGCTTTTACTTCATTTATCACTCTTTGGTTATTTTTGGTACCGTACTTCTCTTTTTCCCATCCATGTTCTCAAATGAGGCGCTCATTCTTCCCATGCGGAAACCAAATTTTTAGGTGGAGAATAATATATTTTTTTTTTAAATAATAATACGAAAGCCTTCTAAATTGAACTGCATATTGCGTCTATCTTATTCTCGTCAATTCCTTCTGTGCAGCCGTTTTGGCATGTTGTAAGCTATAGTCACAGCAGAGGCAAAGGGGTTGTTGGTATGAAGACTGTACTTGCTGTCTAATTTCTTTTACTTATTTTTTCCTTTGTTCTACAATCTTTGTCCTGATTGCATCTACTTTTTGATCAATCACATGCAACAACAGGTGTTTTAGAAGCAAATTTTATCGAGCCTACCCACAACAAACAGGACTTTGAGAAAACTCCAGTTTACCAGAAGCTCGAAGCCCGCCTGAAAGCAATGACACTAGAATACTGGTTGGTAATAAACTTTCAATACAATGTATTGAATATTGTTTAAACAGAGCCTTAATTCGACATATTCCTTCTTGTCTGATTTAATTTAAATAATATATTATGTGATGACATTTATGCTCATTGGCATTGTTTGAACTATGGTAGGGATTATCACTGTGGGCTTGTTGGCTATTATCAAGCTCGCAAATCTCGAGGATTAAAGATGCCTCAGGATACTTCCAATTCTGGACCAGGCCAAGGCATTTATCAACCTGTTGTTCTGGGTCAAGACTCAGGTGCTTCTGGTCGAACAGCATCTTTTGTTGCAGCTAAAAATAGTCCACATGAAGTAGCAAGTGGTTCGTCCCATCACATGGCACCGAACTCCGAAAGGCATTCTTCGCCCATTGCTCAAGATAATACACAGGGTAAGAAGCAGAAAACATTAAAGAGTATGCTTCTTTTCTCAAACAAATATTAACCCCGAAATGAGGTTAACTACTTAAAGAATCCAGGAAAAAGTTAAAATAACCCTTGAGATATGATTCTTTCTTAAATGCCCCATATGTTTCTAGAGACACTAGTAGATTACAGTCAGGCCCTTAAGAGAGTCATTACTTGGGGGTTATATTTGACTTCAAAACCTCTTTGGGTTTTATTTGTAAATAATTTTGTATTTTTATTGTATTTAATTTCTGTACTGAAGTGTCTTGATAAGGATTATGCATGATCTGAAGCTTGCCATAATGCTCCTAAATTTAACAGTAGAGACTTTCAAAAGGAAACACAGAGGACATGACGATGCTGCTGAGCTTGTAAGTGTCGAGAGGAGAGGACTCGAATATTCTGGTGGAGATAAACAGGTTCTTCTTTTATCATCTATTTTTGTTCTTACTCAAATCTTCTCTCTTATTGTTGAATAACTCTACTCCCATGTATTTGGCAACAATAAGCTAACCTGATAAATGTTTTAGTTTAGTTCAACAAACTGATGAACAAGTTTTGTCCACCGTAAATGAAAGAGAAGAAATATATAGAAATTAAGAGGATAATTGATTCTAATTTCTGTATGTCCTGAACAGTGCTTTTTTATCTATTAGGCTATTAGCTTTCTCCTTGCTCTTGTAATTTCTGAACAGCAAAATCCCTCTAATGAAACCTTACCACCACTCCCTTTTAGTTTTTAGAATTATGAGTTTGTTATAGTCATGTTTCCATTTCTCATGGGAAATGTTATTTGATCTTATTTGGATTTACAAGTCACGATATGTATCATGGATAGCTGATCCCGTAAAAGGTTTGCATTTTCTTGCAAACTGGTGAAGTTTTGTTTTTTTTTTTTTCTCTTAACTNTAAAGCTTTAAAACAATCCTGTGATGCAATGAATGTATTGCTGAAAATTGTTTCATTCATGTAGCTTCCTGTTGATCCTGAAAAGCAGTCAGAAAACCAAGATGGTGCTAGTTTGATTCGAGAAAACAAAAGGCTCCGTTCTCTGTAAGTGTTATAATTGTTGTGCACCTGTCAAGTTTCAACCATTATGCTGAAGAATGTCCCTTCAAATCATAATAACCTACAAAAATTACCATAATATTATGGGATTCAGGCATATTTTCTCACACCATACCGAATTAGGATGATAAAACTAACTTAATTACATCAACTACACCTAAGTTCAGCTTCATTAGCAAAGATAGAAAAAGAGATAAAAATAAAAATAAAATAGTTTATATATATAAATATTTATAAAGTTACAATATCCTCTGACATTTGTTCTTGCTCAACTGCTCCCTCTAGATAGGTTCTTGTAAGGTAATCTCAAACCTCAGATGAATAATTTAAATTTTAAAAAAGAATGCGAGTTTCTTGTTATCAGAGTAAAGCTTCAAGGGATAGTTTTCTTAATATCCCAAAAAAAGGTTCTGCTTTCCTTTCTTTGGATATTATTTACTGTCACATGCCCTCATATTTTCATCTATTAATTTTGTACATCAGGTGCCAGGAGTATGAGAAGACAGACGAAGAACTAGATCTCAAGGTACGTGAGATCTCTTTTCTGCGTGTCGAACATTTTTTCAATTTCTTACTTCTTTCAACGAATTTGTAAAATACTGCAATAGTTTAGTTTTTTTTTATCATCACAACCGAACATCCAAGCAACAGATGCACAATTCGTTTACCGTGCTTGGACCAAATATAAAAAAAGTTAAAAACATTGCTATAGTTAAACTTAGAACAAGAATTTTTCGACGTTTAACACATTCTTGTTTGAAAAAATTAGTAATACTCGGTGCTGGTCTGTATAGATAAAATCCCTCGAAGATGAAGTAAGAGAAGCCGAACGAGAGTGCACTCGCATGCTGCTCGAGTCGAGACTGTTGGAGAAAATTAAGGAAAGTAGAAAGCTCTTGCTCGTCTAGTTTTCTTCCAGTGATCTATTTCTGTTTATTTTTATTTTGGAAATATTATGCTAATATTTACTTATTATTTTATGTGAGTATTTTGTATAATCTTAGAAAACACTGATGTTGACACTTTTAAAAAAGGTTGATACTTTCTATTAGAGATGAAAAAAAAGGTTGATACTTTTAAGAATTACATGAAACATGGAGTTTCATATCATCGTACATTATACGTAACACACAAATATTTCACTTGAAATTAAGGAATATTTTACATGATATTATTAGTCCTATTACCATCTCAAGTTCTCAACATTATTGTCTCGTATAGTTTTCAAACCCCAGCCTCTGATATGTAAAACTTATAACAAATTAATTCTGGTATTAGTATAGAATCAGCAGTGTATTTTAAGCATGTATTGTATTGTATATTTGACTTGAGAATATATAAAAACTGTCTAATAATTGGACCTTCTAAATTAGTTAAGAGAAATGCTATAGGTATATAATATTGTGCATCGAGGTGTACATAACACTTAGATTGAGTGAGTCTTCTCAAAAATAAAAAATTACATGGACACTACTCCATGTGAGTGTTATGTACACCTTTATGTACTTTTATTATGTACACACCCATACGAATGTGTGTACAATTTGAAACTCGATATAAGCTGAAGTTCAAACCAGCAGATCAGACATACACATATTCATATGAATATATGTTAGACTTCGAATATTTTGAACCCATTGTGTATTATATAGAAATCCACGAAAGCTACACATAGGCTAACTCTTATCAATCATATTATTATTTTATGTACATAAATTATAATAAGTAATATTTGAGAATTTAATATTAAAATTTTAGAGAATGAACATATTACATTTTTAAAATTTAATCATTAGAAAAAAAGAAATTAATGATTGTTTATTATTATGAACAATTATTAATTATCATTAGATAATAGCAGTTTGATTATTATTATTATTATTATTATTACAAAATAATTATTTATAAGATTCTAAAGTTGTTTGACTATGCTATTAAAACAATTTACTAATTTTTTTTAAAGAATTTTTTTCATGAGATACAAAAGAAAAGGATAATATTGATGTTGAAATAAATAACTTGAAACAATTGTTTATAATCATGCAATTTATATTTATAGTGAAATATTGTTAGTTGGTATTAGCATTAATTATTATATAATATAATAGAAAAATACATGATTACACTCAATAGGATGTATTAATGTGAGAAGTAAAAAAACATTAATGATAAATTTTGTAACCGAAAATGGAGGAAAAATTTTAGAGGTTTTATTAAATAGGTTTTTTTAAATGTTATTAGCTAGTAATTATTATTACTAGTTTTTGTCCCGTGCATTTGCACGGAAAACTATATGATACATGAAAAAATAATAAAAATTATAAACAATAGTAAAAATCATAACAAATTCATTGAAAAAAATTAAGAAAAAAAAAATATAAATATTCTTAAACATTTCTTTATAAAACAACGTCGTGGTTTTTCTATCGTCAAAATCTCCCTCAGCTCAAATCAAAATCTTCAAACCCCACGGACTCGTAACTCTAAAAAGCGCCACGTATAATTGCTCATGACTAAATGCAAAGGTCTTCAGTAGTAAGCCGACGTGCGACAGAGATTGTCTTTGACTCTTATTGATATGTCATAGCACAGAAAACACTTCTTTATATTATTTGTCCTTGACTCTTATTGATTGATAGAGATTGTCCTTGCTTCTTAATAAAAAAAATACCATCTAAATACAAATGAGTAAATATAATATTAATTTTTTATATAAACAAAAAATTTAAAGTAATTGATAATGAGTATAGAATTACCCTTGCGGATTCAAGTTATTTCAACGATGTTCTTTTTATATATCTAAGATTTAATTTTTTTTTTCTGATTTATATGAATATAAGCACATTTGACTAATCTTTATAAAATTTATTGAAATAAGTTACTATTTTTTTGAAAAACTGATAAGATATTAAGATAATACTGTACTTAACATAAATGTGGGATTAATTAAAATAAATC